TTGCAGGACACACCCAGACCATATCCGCCTAACTGCTGTTATTGCTTTGTGTGTTAAGTGAGGTCAATCTCAGGCCTACCACACTACACAATTTCATTTGCAATCCTGAAAAAATACAGTCCAGTGCCTGATTGCATCTTATCCCTTGCTTAAACAACCTTTGATGGATGCTGTTCGTCGTCACTTTGTAATGGTCACTTCACACAGTCTTATTCTTGTCTACAGAATTGTATCCTGCTGCATGTCTTTAACTGCATAGTGATATAGTGTAATATTGAATTTTATTGAAAAAACTTAAAAAACAGTCTGAGAACCAGATTTAACATAACAGCTTGGATACCACTGGTACCATTGGCCCACCAAAAGCTACTCTCTTAGTGTGGGATGCAAATCTTTTTTAGATCTGACCACTTCTTTCCATTTCAGGTACCTTCTTGTTTGATGAACTCACTGCATTAACCACAGCAGCATGTTGCACTTGCAGCATTTTCTTTTGCTTGTGACCCCACTGCTTTGTGCATGTGTAAATCCTACGTACTGTTTAAAAATTAGTCCCCAGGACACCTGTATTCCAAAACAAGCTGGTGTTGTCAAACACAATGAAGTGAATGCAATTTTTCAAACTATATAAAGTGGGACTAAAGGTGATTACAAACATTTTAAAACTACTTTCAGTGTTTCCCCTAGGAATTTTTTCAGGGAGGGTGGTAGACCCCTAGTTTCACGGAGCGGGTGTGTTGCGGATACGTAGTGTCATCATAGACGCGGCAAACAAATTTTGCCTGTTAATGCATGTCACATTCTCCGTTCCTCTTAGACATTTTTATTGTGAAAGTTACTACCTACTGATGATGCTTGCTATAGTTGTGCTACATTCACAATTTGGGCCATGAGACCGTGGATAGAGCCCTATGAAATCCATTTTAATTTTTCTATTTAATCATGTGAATACAATTTCAACAATTCAATAAGAAAATATTACAAATTGAATATCAAATGAATATCCCCCCGCTCTCCAAAACAGTGGTAGGGGAAACACTGACTTTATTTACTTACTTTTCACTGGTGTAAACAAACACACTGTCACTATACAGGACACCATTCAGTCACAATTAGAGGTGCATAGAACAGTGTTCATAAAAGCAGACTGCCTGTTGCAATGGCCTTTTAAACGCCTGCTGGCGATATAAACCTAGATTGAAAAATTGAATGGCAGGAAAATGCAGACTGCTCTTTTCTCCTTCTCTCTGGAAGTTTTGGCAGCGTCTTTCCTTCCCAGTGCACTGTGCCGAGTATGATACAGCATCACCACATCAGCACAATTGCAGTTACAAATGACAGAAATTGGGAGGAAATTTGACTGGGGTGGCCGCCTGGAAACTTCTCTATGCACAAAAAAACCCACAGTGTTGTCAAAGTGGAGCCTAAAAATGTCCTCCACTTTAAGACATTTAGAAACCTTTGAAGATTTTAGATAGGAAATGCAATTGCATTTTGTAACAACCAGCACCATGATATGCAATGCATAATTTGTCTTGTTGGAAGTGTACCAAGTGCACTGAAAAGGTTGATAACGAACAGTGTAGCTTGGCAGGAGCAGGCAGAGGGATGTTGCTTAGGCTAGGGAGGAAAGCAGGGTGACAAGGCAACCATTGTAAGATTGTTGGAGCCGCCAGCTAGTCAAAGAAAGAGTGTGTGAGGTTTGTATATGCATCTACATGTGTGCCTGTGGGTGAGTGCCTAATTGTGTTCATGATATAGCTGTTTGTGTGTGTGTGTGTGGGGTGGGGGCGCTACCTGTAATCCTCCATGAACAGTACTTTATTTTCTGTTCATTATGCATGTATGGTGTTCATCTATGCTTGACTGCAAAGGTTGTTAGAGTTTCAGTGCTACTTGAAACATGAATTAATTGGTGAATTGCCACTAGGGCTGAACGATAGAGTGAAAAGATCTAATTGGGATTTTTCTGCCAGGTATTGCGATTACGATTCAATTTGCGATTTATTTATTGAAGTTTAGCTTCAATATTCACTGCCAGTCTATTTTTGACGGAAGTCAAGCAGCACAGAGCAGATGAACGAGGCAGGAAGTCGGACACAGAACGTCATAGAGAAACCGGTCGATTTTCAAAATAAAGTCAGCTAAATCAGACAAGCAAAACGCTCTTATTCTGAAATGCTCCATGTGGATATGTAATGTAGGGTGGTTAGTCATTACTGTCAAGTATGAGGATTTAGTCTAAGCTTGTAAAAAGATGCTGCCGGAAGGTTTTATTGGCTGCTACTCAGAGGCTTTCAGAATGTAAAGGTCTAAATTAATTAATTTGTTTCCATGAAAGTTCTTTAATGCTTTCATATATCTATAAAAGTGGAAATTGTGGTTTAAAATGAACTGAATATGAATATGGTAATAAGTAAGCTCAATGCCGCTGGGTCCAACTTGAGATAAAACAATGAACTTAGAGTTCATCAACACAAAAAAGAACTAGGCTAATTACTCAGAGGACAAATGCGCTAAAAATGGCAAAGGTGGTGTAAACATTCTGCTGTGTCTCTTCAAGATTAAAAGCCTGAGAAGATAGAAGCGACTGAGTGATGCAAATGTCCCTCTTGGATTGCTACTTGTCAGATGCTCTTTGTCTTTTGGACATGTAGGGTTAATGTTTGAAGACATTTTTAAAAGTTGCTTGACTAAACATCTAAGCAGATAATATTATAGGCTCATGATGGAACTCCGCACCCACACAAGTGTTTCTAATTCTTGTGGCAGGCTGATGTTGGGTGCAAAGTATGTCATATTAGGGGTATGCCTTTACTGTGTGCGAGTTCAATCTGATTGAATTTGACGTGCAAAATCGAGAGGCTCTCCAATTGTCCAGCCAGTTTGAGAGAAGGTCAGTTGAAAAACAAACTGAAATCTTTGAGGGGGGAAAAATAAAAACCTTACAATAACCTGGTTGCATAAGTGTATATACTGTATATTTATGCAAGATCTTTTCAAGATCCATTTTTCCCATGGCATTAGGAAGTGAAAAGGTGGTAAAACAGAGGTATGGTGAGCTTCTGTCCTCTGTGTATTGTAGCAGTTCATTAAAAAGTGAGTGAAACTAGTGAAAATAGCTTCTGTCCATTGTTGATGTTCGTGGGTTCTTTGGGATACTAGAGACGTTAAATAAACACACATGGTGCAGTAAAGTTCTGCATAACTTGCTGTCACTTCCCTCATGGGTCTATTATAGTGCAGAATGTAGTTTGTAATGAGTGTGAACTTGAAACAGCGAACAACTAAAAGGAAACAACATATTTTTTTTAGTCTTAGCGAGGTGAAGCAAACTACAAATGTGAAACTGACTTTCAAGTTATGTGACTCATAATTGTTGCCGCTCCATTGTGCAGCATTAGAAACTAGTTCTAATGGCTAAACACATCTTTCAGAGGTCAGAGAGTGACAGTTTTCTGCTCCATCTAAGGCTACAGTATGTTTCGCATGACAAATTATTTTACCTGATGACCCTGTCTTTCTACTTCCGTTTTGCAGTCAAGTGAAAAACAACACCCAGGACCTTTGGATGAATGCCAGTCTCTCATTTCCTCAATTTGCTGTTAACAGATAAAGAGAACAAGCCTAAGCTTTCAGTTTATGTTACGCAGTTGATGTTTTGTAGTGTAATAATTAATTTCTTAATTTCAGCACAAGATGTTGTAAAACCTAGTCACACAGAGATAGCTACTTATGTTGGATTTTATTCTGGGTCAGTATAACAATGTTATCATAAGTAATGCACATTATTAACTGCTTTGACCTTTCCACTATGGACCTTTCTTTATTACTAATCCATTGTTGGACCTGCTTTGAAAAGGAAAGGCGGGCAGGGGTTGGACAAGAGAGCGAATTGGAAGAAACAGCAACTAAAACCTTTACCAGTATGCAGGACTGCGAGGGCTGAGTAGAAGAGAGTAATGCAATAAAGGGTGAGAGAAAATAAAAGAATTTCAGGGGTGGAGATAAGAAGGGCTTAAATAAGAAAAGACTAGTAGAAGACAAGATGGGAGAGAATGAAAAGGAGGAGTGGAGAGGGGGAAATGGCCAGAAATAGTCATTTCTGCCAGAACCTTTTTCCTGTGTTACACACAATGGCACCTCCCTGTGTCAGGAGTTACCTCTTTCCTTAACTGTAACACTAGACCTCTACGTCATGTTGCCTGTAAAACTACCTTTATTACCTACTGCCAACCTAAACTTACAAATAGACTGAAAATTATTTTATTTAATATTTGGATTTTTGACTTTGCAGTTAGAGGTAAAAAGTGAATATTCATTCCTTTATTCCTTTTTCTCGCGATCCTATACCTGTTCCAAACCTTACTTCTTCTTTCCAGGACCTTTGTCCTGTCATTAACTGTCCTCACAAATACTTGATTGATTTTTAAGAATTTGCAAACATTTCTTGATCACACAAAATGTGTCTTTAATGGCTCATTGTATGCATTTATCTTGTGGTGAAATATGATGCTATATTAAAATGTCATTGATGGAGGGAGCTGGAGTAAAAGGCAGAGCGAGGGATGAGATGATGATTCCCACAGGATCTCAGCTTAGGTTATTTGTGGTTGTGGCTGCGGGCCGGGAGAACAGTTGTGCACTGAGGAGTGCGTGCAATGCAATTAGCACAATCAGTGCATCATTTTTGTGCGTTTAGGTATTTCTGGTGCATATGACAAATGCGATGATGGTGGGGGGCCACAGTTTAATTTTTGTAAGGGACAATACTGACAGGAGACAGATGGGGGCTGTAGGAACAAGCTGGCTTGTTGCTTAATTCTTCACTTTCATATGCATGTTTCTGTTTCTAAGTGACACTTGCATCAACATGGCTTCACATTGCATCAAGCTATTTTGCAAATACCTCTCCTTTTATTCTGCTGAGATAGACACAATCCTCAGATGACCCACAGATGCCGTTTTCCTCTACTCCACTTTCTCTTGACTTAAGCTTTGCTTAACCTTTTGCACCCTCTATTTTCTCTTTATGCTCCCTTTGTCTGGCTTTTATAAAGCTGCCTCACAGTTTCCTTAAGGTGTTTAAAAGACCTCTAAAAGTGAATAATGAATGGCCTCACCATTTTTTAGGGGTAAGTTTCTAAGTAGCTGCGTTTCCAGTTGCCTTGAACAATGCTTTTCATGGATTTCATCACATCATGACTGTTTTTTGCTTCTTTTCTTTATTTATTTTTTTCTTTTTCTAGGTGATTTTGCTCATCATCTCCCACCACTTCCTCCTCCCGTCTTCCATTCATGAGCAGCGTGGCTGAGTTTAACAGCGGCAGCCATGGATGACAAGGGCTCGGTGGGGAAGATTAGCGTGTCTTCGGACTCAGTGTCCACTCTCAACAGTGAGGACTTTGTCCTTGTGTCCCGGCTAGGGGACGAGACACCCTCCTCCACTAACAATGGTAGTGATGATGAAAAGACAGGATTGAAGGTAAGGTTGGTTGGGTGTAGGTATGGATGGAAGCACAAGGGAGAGAAGGGAGACTTCAGAGAGCTGTGCTGGTCAAATCAGACTTTAGGTTCAGTGTCACTGGTCTATTGAGATTTTCAGTGATAACAAGCTCATGGGCATAAATTCTTTCCTAAGATGCTTCTTACTATGAATAACACAAGTATAGGCTAGTCACTACTGATAATACTGTAAAGCAATAATTCTTTTCAGAACACCAGTAGGATGACAGGCCATAGTGCGCTGCCTCCTGTCTGCACTCTTTTTTTGCAATAGTAATGACTTAGGAGAGTATCTCAGGACCCACAGTATGAATTACCAAAACATTTTGATGTTTATTTTATCTATACCTACTGTATTTGTCGTCAGTGTGTAACTTGTTAAATTTGCAGGTTAGGTGTCCCAGTCCATACATAGTCCATTGTTACCAGGTTGTGTTCATCACTCACATGTCAAGAGCTCTGGTCCATCTTTTAAAAAAGAATGCAGTCTCACACTCTAACAATAAGGCTAACAATTTATTGTTTTGCTTTTTCTACATTCTCACTCTACCTTCTTCTGATAGTTGTTTATAGGTGTGTGTTTTTTACCCTTTTAATTTGCTTCTTATGGCTAAGGAAGCCGTTAAAACCTTGTTAGCGTGTGCCCATCAACAGAAATTGAGAGCACGTTTTCACAGGCTTTGTTTCTAGTGAAGAACTTGCTCTCAGAATTACATTTATTTTCCGAGTTCTTCCCCTGTGAAATGTCACTATTATTGAAGTAGTATGGTTAGTGGAAAAAGAAAGGTGTCATCCTTGCAAATCAAGCAAGCATTTTTTTTGTGCGAGCTGAAAGTGTAAGACAAGCCAGCTCATATGTTTGTCATTCAGTGTCAGCAAGATGAATACTACCTAAAAAACATGTCCCATCTGCAGTCAGTCAGCATAAAGCATGTGCTATCGTACCCTGGTATGTCTGACATACAGTATGACCTATGCGATTCAATTCAGTGCTTCACTTAGCACCACTCAGCAGAAATTAGTTTACAAACAGTGTGGCGATGCAGCTGCGAGTGCTTTGGACTCATTGTCAGGGAAAATAATGGTGTTTTGTGACTACCCGGGTGTGTCTCCATAAAGAGAACCAAGACTTCCTGAGGAAAGACCTGTAGCTACCAGCCACCATCCCACGTGTGCCTAAGGGGTTCAAGTTCCTTTCCTCACCTCTCCTCTCCTGTCCTCTCTTCCCCTTCAGTGTCCTAGTTATCACATTTCTTTTTATTGAATTTACTTAAGTAGCTGTCTCACTTGTTCATTCTGTGTCTGTTAGTTTACATCATTACTGTACCCGTGTTTCTTTGTGGAGGAAGGAATTGTTGATTTGTATTTGTAAAGGTACCAGAAGATGGTGCCAGCAGAGCAAGGATGTTGCATATTCAGTTGATAGGAAGATGCAGATACACTTTTTTCCCCTGTCATTTGCTGCGCTTGGATATGAGAGAATATGGTTTTGCATATTTCATGAGTACAGAGTCTGTTAAAGGAAAACCGAGCAGTGGTATCAGTTTTGTGCAGCCTAGTGGCGGCCGTCTGTATGCTGTCCCACACACACCCACTGTTCTCAGTTTGTAGTGGTGAAATCACTCCATTTACTGACACCTGGTCATCCAGATATCATGTATTGGTTTTTCACCAACACACTCTCGTGCACATTTCCCTCCCAGTCAGCCCATCCAGTCAGAGAGGAGTCAGTGTGTCTAAACTTGTTGTTTGTTATGCAGGTGATTTCTGAGGAAGGGGTCAGCTTTAAGGTCAGTCTCTTCTCTCACTATCTCTCTCTCTCTCTCTCTCTCTCTCTCTCTCTCTCTCTCTCTCTCTCTCTCTCTGGACCTCTTTCTTGCTTGTACCTATTTTTCTCTCTTTCTATGATTGTGATTCCGTGGTGATTCTGTCTGTGATTATTTGTGCACTATGTATTTTTGCCGGCTGCTGTGATGCCCGTAGCCAGCCTCTTAAGTTTTGATGATGGTAGTGATAGACATTCTCTCATATAGGGCTGCAGTTGTACCTGACAACTGCCCAGGCATTTAGCATCTACTTGTAAATCACACGGCCCGCCACAGTTGAATGCGTAGTAGTGCAGTTATGTCAGATGTCTGAACCTAAATAGAGAATTGACTGGAGCTGCTCAACATCAGTCTTCAAATAATAATCTTTTTTCATTATGGCACTAGACCTATTGACACTATAGTTGTACTGTAGTATCCATCCTGCTTTAGGTACTTGTTTGAGTATAAGAGAAGTGAACAAATTATCATATGCCTCTACGGCACAAATATTATTTATGGCTGTCTATACATGGAGAGCCTTCTTGAATATTCCACCATCAATAATCACATATACCACAAAGGCTGATTTGTCTGTACCTATCCCTTATTGCTCAGAACAGCAGTGCCCTCTGCAGCTCAAGTCTGCTTTCCATTTCTTACCCAACATCAGGCTGTTGCCACAGCAAGCAGAAAATGGGGGCATTGCCTCTTTTTGTGGCATTCATGGTTTGCTCTTGGATTTTATTTGTTAGTTTTGGAATAAGCTCACATACTTAGTGTTGGCATGGCTCTTCTAATGTCTTGATGCAGGTATTTCACAACTCAAACTCACATACTTACTAATCACTAATATTGGATGAAGTTTAATGAAGATATATCGCTGACCACCAACATGAAACAAGGCATCTTTCCCCCCTTATACACACTTTATTTACCCACTGCGCATTTCTTCAAAGTGTAAGAGAAAAGAATTGTAATGTAGTTGATGTAGGCCTAAAGGTTAGCTTACATTTGACCCATATGTTATGGTAATCACTCAATGATTTTATTTTGTTTAAGTATTTGTTCTTGAGTTTTTTTAAATATGTTGCTTTTTTTGCTTCTATTTGTCCCTGCACCTTGATGTGGTTGTGTTCATGTCTGTTTCTATCTGTGTGTGTATGTGTGTTTGTTTATACTCCTGTGTGTGTGTGTGTGTGTGTGTGTGTGTGTGTGTGTGTGTGTGTGTGTGTGTGTGTCAGATTGTGGGGAATGGAAGTGAGCAGCAGCTCCAGAGGGAGTTAGAGGATGTCCTCATGGACCCATCGGTAGCTGACACTGGGCTCGGATCAGAAACAGGAATGGACAGCCTTGGTGCGGGCGACCATGGCCTTCTTCCCACTACAGCTTCACCTGTACCACTAGGCTCTGACCCTCTGAGCGCACCACCACCCAAGTTGGAGATGGTGCTTCCTGTTCAGATGGCTCAGGAGAGCGAGCTGAATGAGAGGTCGTACCGAGGTGAGCAATGATGTGACGTTTCTTATCCTCTTTTTTTGTGTCTTTCGAAGCTGACACAATGGCTCTTATCTTCTAAGACATAATATTACACCCAGACGTCTGAATCATACAGAATACCATAAATCTTTGCACTTCCCTCATTGCCTCTTTCTATCTTTGTAGCAGAGAACTCTTGCCGTTTTCTGTTCATTTACTTATCCCCTCTATGCATTTCTTGCATGCATTTCACTGATCTGCTTCACCTCATTTCACCTCATTTCTACTTTGCAGAAGACATCTCAAAAGAGGAATAATGTTGATGTACCATCATAAGATCATAATAGGAGTCATAAAATAATCAAATCATTTGGCTTTTCTTTCCTTTCCTCTACTCCTTTCCACTCCTCACCCAATCCATTGCCCCCTTACAGCAGATGAATCATCATCAGAGGGCAGTCCTTGCAGTCCCATCCCAGATGAGGACAGCGTTGTGTTCAGCCAGCTGACGTATCTGGGGTGTGCCTCAGTCAACGCCCCCCGCAGTGAGGTGGAGGCTCTCCGTATGATGAGTATCCTCAGAGGGCAGTGCCAAGTTCCCCTGGATGTCACACTGTCTGTGCCAGGCGTGTCAGAAGGCACTGTCAGGTAAGGGGAACATACAGTTGCTGGTCATATAATTAGAATATCATCAAAAGTTGATTTATTTCAGTAATTCCATTCAAAAAGTGAAACTTGTATAATGTATACATTCATTCCACACAGGCTGATATATTTCCAGTGTTCATTCCTTTTAATTTTGATGAATATAACTGACAACTAATGAAAACCTCAAAATCAGTAACTCAGAAAATTAGAATATTGTGAAAAGGTTCAATATTGTAGACACCTGGTGCCACACTCTAATCAGCTAATTAACTCAAAACACCTGCAAAGGCCTTTAAATGGTCTCTCAGTCTAGTTCTGTAGGCTACACAATCATAGTGTTTTCTGAGGTCCAAGGTCAACAGGAAGTTTTAGAGCACTTCATGCTTCCTGCGGCTGACCAACTTTATGGAGATGCAAATTTAATTTCCCAACAGGACTTGGCACCTGCACGCAGTGCCAAAGGTACCAGTACCTGGTTTAAGGTCCATGTTATCCCTGTTCTTAATTGGCCAGCAAACTCGCCTGACCTTAACCCTAACAATGTAGAAGAGCTGAAGGCCACTGTCAGAGCAACCTGGGCTCTCTTAACACCTGAACAGTGCCACAGACTGATCGTCTCCATGCCACGCCGCATTGCTGCAGTAATTCAGGCAAAAGGAGCCCCAACTAAGTATTGAGTGCTGTACATGCTCATACTTTTCATGTTCATACTTTTCAGTTGGCCAACATTTCTAAAAATCCTTTTTTTGTATTGGTCTTAAGTAATATTCTAATTTTCAGAGATACTGAATTTGGATTTTCATTAGTTGTCAGTTTTAATCATCACAATTAAATGAATAAACATTTGAATATATCAGTCTGTGTGTAATGAATGAATATAATATCCAAGTTTCACTTTTTGAATGGAATTATTGAAATAAATCAACTTTTTGATGATATTCTAATTATATGACCAGCACCTGTATGGATTATTAGTTCTAGTTCTACAGTGTACTGTTACCTACGTGTGTGTATATGGAAACGGTTACATGTCATACACACAGTTCCCAAACATGCATAACATATCTCATCTTGCAAAGGTGACTTGTAAGCTATCAGATTTTTATTCATTCATTTTTATTCATGTTCTAAAAGGTTGCTGGACCCCCACGGCAGTACGGAGATTGCCAACTACCCAATCTACAAGATTCTGTTCTGTGTGCGAGGCCATGATGGAACACCTGAGAGTGACTGCTTTGCTTTCACTGAGAGCCACTACAATGCTGAGATCTTCAGGATCCACGTGTTCCGCTGCCAAATCCAAGAAGCGGTGAGGAGTTAATCATTAATAGATTGATTACTGTTTATTTTATGTGTAACTACGTTTTCTGAAGATTAATTTGAAAGATAGTAGTATAAATTTCTGCACGAAATATATATATATATAGCTATAGCAATAGCCTAGTAATGATAATAGGCCTACTACTACTCCATTATAATAATAATAATGCCTGCAAGCTCACATTAGAAGTAGTCTGGTGCTACTGCCAATTATAACAATAGCCCCTAGTAATGATAAGCGTACCTACCTCTACTGATGATGATGATGATGATTATAATAATAATTAATAATAATAATAATCATAATAGTGTGGGCCTAAAATAATAGCCTAGCCTAGATCGATCGATCTATCTATCTGTCTATCTGTCTATGGTGGTGTAATAGGGGTGGCGCTGGGAAGGGGGGGGACGGGGACGGGGGGCCCAGCTGCAATAAACCAGCTTTGGGGGGGCCCAGCTTGCAAAGGTTGAGAACCCCTGCGTTAACACAAACTCACACATACAAAAAAACTGTAACAAGCAATGCAACTGCTGTTTAGACAGTCGACTAAAGGGGGAGCAAAAGCTCCCCTTATAAATCCTTTTCTTTTTGATTAACATGACACTCCACCCCTACACACATCTATTCTGTCCACTCATATACATATACTGTATGTGTACACACTGATATTGCCATCAGCATTCAGGTTGACCTTGTCTTAAATTGTTGATCTCCCTGTGGCATGTCCCTCTGGGTCCCTGTGTCAATGTGGGAGCTTCCTCAGTGGTCACCAAGTGAATATTTCATGCACTGCAGGCTGTGCTGCAATGCACATGTACACAAATACACGCAATGCCCCAAGCTAACTTATAGGAGAGAGGAAGTGTCATTACTTATATACAGTAGGTTCAGCCGAAATAAAAAAGAGAATCCATTCAGGAAACTGGGTTAAAGTGCTGCTTCAGTGTTCACTGAACTGATTTCTCCCTCATGGAGCACTCTCCTTCAATGTCACTAAGAGCCCCTGTACAGACAGTATTTTATCAGTCCCACATCAACCTACCATCCAATAGTACACATACACATACTGAGATAATTCCCAGTAGTAATGCAGTTCTTTACTTAGCAACCGGACATCTCTGTCTTCGGCTCCCTCTTCCCTCCCTCCTTCCTCTTGCACCCGCCCCTCTTTTCCTTCCAGACCCACAGCAACAAACCAATCTGCAAAGCCTCCAGTTTTTTTTTTTGGCATCTCATTTGCACAGTTAGTCTGGAGTGAGTCAGCCCATTGGTTGCTCTAGTTATGTTCCTCACAGTAGCCTCAAATCCACTGTAAATTACTCCCAAGACATCTTAAGCCACTGTATTTATTCATTAAGGAGTTTCACTTTATTTTGAAATATAGTTTTTGGACACCATAGCCATACTTAATAAATGCACATTTATTTACAAATTCTCCTCTTTTTAAAAATAAATGTTGTGATTCCATACCCAAATAAACCTCCTGATAAATGCTGAGGCAATCACAGCTGGACTAAAACAATTTACTTGTACAAACAATCAGCTGTATTTAATCAAATTGTGAAGAGCATCTGATACACTTAAAAAAAAAAACTTTTTATTTAAACATTTCAGTCATTTTACATACTAGCACTTTCTGACATAGGACTTCATAAATTCAGTGACAAGTAATCCAAAAAAAAAATTGGGAGGTGTTGGGGTGTGTCCACAGACAACTGCAGACCGTCATTCGCTCCATTGTGTAAACATTTTTCAGTCTCTGAACCCATTGAATTATGTTTAGTGGTTTATATGAATCATTCTTTACCCAGAATTTGAAAAATAAGACAATTTGGAAAAAAGAAACTATTAATATCCTTCTTCTACTGAAGTTATCACTGTTTTGTAATCATATGCTTTTTTGGACATTCTGCGTAATTTCTTTTTCTAAACAGACTTGTGGATTTTGGAGTGGAACTGTTCAAGCAAACCACCTCCTCAGTCCTACTTTGCCTTCTTTGTGCCAGACCTCCTAGTCAGGCCCCAAGGCTAGTTTCTAACAATTCCCAGTTTTCTGGTGTTGATACAGAGCCCTGCTGAGTCTTAATACCCGACACCTCCCCTTCCCTCCCATAAACTTGCTGCTCCCGTCCAGAGATGTTGTATATCTAGTGCGGTTTGATTCAAACCAGTACGGCTTCATTACATTAGTTTCACTCAAGCGATTTGGGGCTCCTAACACATTAAATCGCATGTTTAGGGAAACAAAAACAAATTGGGCACTGATAAATAAATCCAGATTGTTGCCGTGGCATCAGTTAAAAATATCTCAAAGCTTCATGTCAGTACGCAAGATGATGCTGCCAAGTAAGAAAAAGTAAGAATATCCTGAACGGGAAGTAAAAAATAACAATCTAACACAATACCTAACAAGTTCCAGATCCTTAAAGGCCACACTTTTTTTTGATAAAGGCTGATTCCAAATCCTGAACAACTTATGTAATTGCGTTTCATAAGAAATCTGAGGGTAAAAACAGTAACATTTAAACATTGTCTGTACAGTTTATTTGCATAAAAAGACAAAAATGGTTAAAACGTAATACTTCAACTTCAGTTACATTTTGATGACAGTACAACAACAACAAAAAAAAAACTTGTTACACTTGAAAAAATTTGAGTGGGATAAAACAACTTTCCTTGTAGATAGATATTGAAAAACATTTGTTTGACAACTTTTGTGGAATCAAGTTTTTCTAAATGTTAATACATTATTAACATTAACATTTAATACCTTATTTTGTCTTGACTGTAAGTTACAGTTTGGCCGAAGAACACACAAAACAAAAAAAGGCAGAATGTTTCTCTTCTTATAAGGGAAACACTCAAATATCAGCCTAAATTACCTGTCAGGACTGATACTTCTCCAGTACAGTATCTTCCACATCCAGATTGAACTCCTTCACACCACACAGAGAATAAAAGGCCATTGGCAGACATTTGAAACTGCTCCGATTTGACTCTAGCATTGATTAGAACAGAACAACTATTCTATTGTGTTATTTGTCATAATTTCGTCAATACAGGGGGTGACCCCCATCTAACTTTACTTGTTCCCCAACTCTTACATCCAGTCCCCCGTTGTTTCTCAATAAATAAACCCCCTAACATCCGTCTACTGCACAGAGAGCATAACAAAGGCTTTGTGTTGGAGAGGTTAGAAGCTGCTTCATGCTCTGGCCTTGAAAAAGCGAGTATTGTTATTTATTGATAACAGCAGTTTCCCCCACCATCTCTCAGTCACTAACCCCCAAGCTCTGCTGTTTACCCGAATTAGAGATGATCCAAAACCATTGTGCTGTGGGCCTCAAGTTGGGGGAGCGCTCTGTTTATTATCATACACACATGTCTGTGTAGCAATGATCAAAAATTAATTGAAATACTTTTTTTCTTGACTAAATCTAAAGCACCCAAATCAAAAGTCTTGTGAGTGAAAAATTACATTTTGTGAATGTAAATAAATCCTTTGCTCCTCTTTGGGGTTGGAGGTTTAGCAGATCCCTGCAGTCTCTGGAAGGAGTTGTCTCTGTTTAATGTTAATAGGAACAATACCTCCACTCTCTAATTCACAGGCAAGTATGAGTCAGTATGTTGATTAAAACTCAAAATGCTTAATGGGTTGGAGGGTCTTCTGTCAGTAGAGTAGTGGGTCATTAGGTAAGCGTTTTTATTACCCCATAGCACAAAATGGCAACACCAGATCTGCAGAGGTTTGATTGAGTTTTTAATCAATACTAATAGCTCAGTGATTACTTTGCCTGGTGTGGATATTTTTGGGTTCCAAAACTCTGTTTAATGGTCCACAAAACAATTCAGCTACAGAAGCTGCTAAACTTGCCAATGCCAAAAAACAAGTAACATACTACAGCATTTTACCAAACTGTCTATCTCTTCTAATGGGTTTCTACTTTAATTAGCTAACTGACTTGTCAATGTTGTCTGTGTCTATATCTTAAAGTACCGGGGGGAGGGAGGTGTGTTCATTTCAAGTGCTGTTGCAATTTCTACCATCTGTGAGTAGACTAAGGTTGTGAATGGCTGTTCAAACACAAATTAATAGCAGCTTGGAGGGAATGAGTTCCACTCGGAAAAGTAGTTGATGTGTTGAAAAAAAGAGTACTCTTGTTTTATTTCAAAATTACCTGTCAAATAACATTAACTCAAGCACTTTCTGCATCTGATTGGTTTTATAGTTATTAATTAATTATAATTTATAATTATAGTGACTTAATTTTGGTTATTGTGATAAAGTGTTTGTGTGTTTCCCATTCTCCTGCAGGTGAGTAGGATACTGTACAGCTTTGCCACAGCGTTTCGGCGGTCAGCTAAGAAGGCAGTTCTATCGTCTCAGCAGCCCGCTCCACTCACCCCTGACAGTGACTTGTTTACCTTCACCGTCAGCCTGGAAATCAAGGAGGATGATGGCAAGGGTACTTACAGGTGAGACGTACATTCACGCTTTATATATTTCAATGTTGGGAGATTGAAACCATCATTTATGATGCTTACACAGTTTTGTATGCTTTGAAAGCTGAATATGTAATACCATGTCTTGAAATACTTTGGAGTGTCACAGAAGTCAGGAAACATAGGGAACATTTTTCTGTGTATTGTGGCTTTTGTCGAGACAAATAATCTTCATGTATTGTAGATGTGGGCAGACTGTTCAGTCCGCATTCTGTATTAAACACCAGCTTTAACCGTCAAATCGAGCCCTTAATGAATGTCTTTCACAATGTATGTCATTGTGAAAAATATATAGAAACCTTGAACATCTTCATCTGTAACCATTTATTTGTGGCGGCGCCACCATTCCAACTAAATATGTAAGGAGCTTTGAATGAAAAGGGCCACCAAATGTCCTGAGGATCTTACCAAATTACCCGTGTCATGCACATTAAAAACAGGGACATGCAGACCTGGGGAATGAGTGTTGTTCAAATTAAGCACACTTTTGGATGACCCAGTTACAAAAGTCACAAACCTTTCCGGTGTTGACAGCTTATGGGGTTCATACTACTCACGAGGGAAGCATCATCTTATTGATTCATATACAAAAAGAATGTGTCAGTAAATCCATCCATCCATCCATCCATCCTCAACCGATTATCCTGCATACAGGGCCGCGGGTGTGTTAGTAAATAAAAATATCACTAAAGAGAATCACTGATGGAAAAAGAAGGACTGGGGAGCCCTTCCTGTCTCACAGTGGACTGATAATTTGACCACTTCTATTAATTACGATCTCACTCTTTTTCTCACGTTGATTAGAGAACACAACAGAAAGTTCCTGTGTTTGCTGCATTCAAACCCATCTTGTTTGACCTTTGCTTTATTTTGTTTTCCCTGAGTCACTTGCGTGTGTTCACAAATAGCCCTAGATATTTACTTGACTTATTTGGAAAACAAAACAAAAAAGACCAAATAAAAAATGCGAGGGGTTATTTTTAGCCAGCACAGATTTCCTCCTCATTAGCTCTTGGTTGATTATTTTTAGGATGCTGACTTCCAAGCAAACAGCTCCCACATGCAAGCACTCCTAGACTGTTGTTGTTTCCCTTGTGAATAAGCTATGGAGGGGCAGAAGTCATCTTATGTGGGGTGATGGCGCAATGGATTCAATCCCCCACTGTGACCCATCCACCATTGTGTTCCTGTACAAGACACTTAACCCTCGTTGCTCCAGAGGCGTGCGACCGCTAAATGAATAAATGTAAATGTAATGTGCATGTGTTCTCACTCGGTAAAAGAAATTGGAAGACTGTTAACTTACGTTTCAAGTCGCAGTGGATATTTTAAGCACGGACCAGGTAAAACAACAGTGAACACACAGAGTGTAGATGTTTGTTTCAGTTGTTTGATAGGCTACGTCATTAATATGCCGATGTGCGGCTCACCAGCTGCTGTGATAACAGATCACGGGTGAAAATATACGGAAAAAAGATGAGTTCTCTGTCTTTTAGGCGACTTTATAAAACATACTGATGATGGAGAAAATGGAGCAGACGGGGGGAGAGAGACAGAGAGAGGCGGGGCAAGCCGAGCGTTTACCTGAGGTGTAGGTGTGTGTGTCAGAGTGTGGGGAGAAGAGAATTCCGAGGCAGGTGCAAACCATACTTAAAAACATTAATAAAAATGTTCGTGGTTAAAACCTGCTTTCACAGGGTGGTATAATGTAAACATTTGAGATTTTTATTTGCTATGGGGTGGGGGTTTTACAATAACGATCGACATCATGATGTCTGTCAGTCTATCAGCCCATCCCTATAATGTATGTAGAATGATATCTGTAAAAAAAAATAAAGTAGAATATTTAAATCATCTTTGTATATAGAAGCCTGTTTGTCTGTAGTCAGAGGACATTACATTGTAAAACCATGACTCAGTCAGATAGTGTAGTTGACTAAGCTGGATCTGGCACATTAAATCCCTGCTCACAAAGTTTTTGTGATCTAAGCACTGCCTGAAACTATGGCAGGTTCCAAATGTTTGCAATAGATTTCAAATTGATTGATGTTTTTTTTTTTAACTCAAGAAACTCTACTTAAGGGTTTCTTCAGTGTTTCCTCAGGAATTTGTGTCAGTGAAGGTTTGGAGAATGTTGATTACTGTTCCTGTCTCAAAGCTCGTTCTTTTCCTGTTTGAAAATGGCTCTTACGCACACTTTTATTATGATAAATGGGTCTATTATGAACATGAGCCTTGGTCTTCTGGACTGGCTCTTATATTTCAGAACTCCTAATGGTTTGTCACTCTTCTACACCCCTCAGATCATCAAAACAATCCCTTTTAGCCATTCCACAGTCGTATGAAAACAATGGGTGATCGTGCCTTTTCAGTGGTGCCCCCGAGACTGTGTAATAAACTACCCCTGATTATCAGATCATCCCCCACCATCGAGAATTTTAAGTCTCATCTTAACATTCATTTTTTATTCTTTGGCATTTGAGTCTGTTTAGGGGAACCTTTGCTTAACTGTCTTGCAAGTGCCTTTTTGCCTATTGTATTGCTATATGTCATTAATGTTGTTTGGCCTGTTTTAATTTATCTGGTTTAATTGTTATTTATTCAACTGTAGAACTTTGTTCAGCACTTCGGTCAACTTTGGTTGTTTTTAAATTTGCTTTATTCCTTGACTTCATTTTTTCAGTCAGACTGATCTGAGCTGATTGACTGATTAGTGATACATCTGAGTAATCTTGTTGTCCAGCTGAAGAAACCCTCTAGTGCTTAAATTGGATGTGCTAGTTTGTGTGTAAACTGCAGGATTATTGTTTCTTTTCCAGTCCAGATAATTAAACAGGATAATTAAACTGGTTGTTTAATTAATCAATTAAATTATTCAATTAATTATTAATAATTAATTAATCAATTAAACAACCTGTCTTGTCAGCTTGTGGTCAAATAATACCTAAAATGTCTTTAATGTAATTCAGTTACTGTCTAATGATTTAAATGATATTTAAATCTGCCTTACTGTGTCACTGTCAAATGTATCACTGGGTTTTTCTCTTGCTGATAAAAAAATTTATGTTTCTTGTTTTCACATGTTCAGTGCTGTAGCAAAAGACAAGGACAAGCAGAGCTTCAAGCTGCGTGCAGGAATGGACAAGAAAATTGTAATTTATGTCCAGCAGACCTCCAACAAGGAACTGGCTATTGAGAGGTAAATAAAGCACAAACACAAGCACATGCAGTCACACACTCATTGCGCACACAGAAGACATCTTCAGAAAAGCTTAAGAGTAGCATCCACTAGTAAACTATAAAGTGCCATAGCATCACTTAATGTAAATTTTAGTTATTTAGTGTAAGGGTGCGTGTCCACCAAATGGTTTTTTTCTGACGCCAGCGTCTTTTTTTCAATTTATTCCAATGGGAGCGCTGTGTTTTTCCAAGCTGGTAAAAACTCCAGGAGCGCTGAGTGTTGAGCACTGAGTCTTGAGCACTGAGTTTTTTTTCTGGTCACTGAGAGTTGAAAAATGTTCAACTTTGGGAAAAACACTGCGCTCGTCACTATCACTTTTTACCCAGCCGTCCAATCACAGTGCAGGAGGGGCGGGACAAACACCGCACCGAGCACATCCGATCTTGAACGAAACGGTGTGCCTACTCGCCAAGACTTTTCCTCGCCGCAAAATCGCATGAATCCATGTGCACTCATGTTTCAGCCTTCTCTTTATTCAGAGCAAGGGCCAGAGCAAGTAGGCCTACATACTTTGTGGTGACATTTTTACATTCAATAAAATTAAGTAGCCTACCCTACTTGCAGCACATTGCCTCCATGGAAATTATGTATCATAGCAACCACAGCATCTTGAAAAAAACCCACTGCGCCTCCAAAACGCACCATAGCGTCCCAGCTAGGCGTTTTCAGAAGAGCAGGTGGCTGTTTTCAGCTGGCAAGAAACGCTTTGGTGGACACGGGGCCTTAGTGTATTAGGGTTCATTTAAACAGGCTGCTGGGTCCTTATGTTTAGTGCCCTTTTGAAGTTTCATATACCAAGAGAATCGTTTGGTATGTAGGCAGCACTACTTTCAGAAGATTTATTCTGCAGTACAACGACAGCCATATCTCTAAACATGATAAAAGCACGCAGGAACAATCTAGATTAATGTAACCAACTGAGGGAACAGAGGATGTCATTTTTTTGTCACTCTGGAATTGTCCTGTAAAAGGAAAATATTTAAGGAGAGAATCTGTCATGCATTTACTCAATTTGCTGCGGTTGAGATGTGTCTGCCTAAATGACGACCAGACATTCATGAGAAAGGAATCACTCAGATATATTTGATAAACACACACCGGCAAACATCTTTACATCCGCACGTCGGCTCAGCCCATGTCAGGTTTTAAGTGTTCCGGCACATTTGTGAGATGGTGATTGATGTGAGTCTGTCGCTGAGGCTCCCTTATTTTCCACGGTTTAATAAATCTGTTGAAATGTAAACATTCCTTCACTTTTTTTCATGGTGGTTTGTTATTGTTTGATGAACCCAGAGAAGGTAAGGATTGAAGTGCTGTGTTTAACATTCTCCATGTTCTGGTCTGTGTTAGAGGATCAGTCCAGGAAGCTATTTGCAGTCACATGTGATGGTTAAAAACTGGTTTTACTTTATAGGGAGATTTATTGTTCTGCATCTGGTTCGCGCTCTTGCTCTGTTCTTTATTCCCTCTCCCTTTTTTCTTACGTAATTCTATTAGTTTTCATTCTGCGTATGTATTTTCATGTTTATTGATGTGTGCTTTCTTGTATGTTTCCTCTCCAGGTGTTTCGGTCTCTTGCTCAGCCCAGGGAAAAATGTCAAGAACAGCGACATGCACCTGCTAGACCTGGTGGGGGACTGTTTTCATGTGTATGTGTGCGCTGTCGTGCAGTTGTGTGTGTTTGCTAACTTCTTCTCACTCGCGCCCCCTACAGGAGTCAATGGGAAAGAGCTCCGACGGGAAGTCATACATCATCACAGGAAGTTGGAACCCCAACACGCCTCAGTTCCAGGCTGTAAATGAGGAAACGCCCAAAGGTAACAGCCAAACATCTGTCGAAAATTCTAATAGAAATGAGTTTACAGTTATTATTTCCTTAGGCTAGTTGGTTGTTTATTGATTTGTGTTTTCCCACTAATGTTTGACACATGTCCAAACACTTTCCTCTGGTTGCACAAATCCTCGACTCAAGCTGTGAAAGAGCAAAATTATAGCTGCACTAAATAAGAATGGCAACTGTACTTTGCTGTTAAAAAATAATGTTGCATAGAACACATAAGCTACAATATTTGAGCAGACTGCAAATAAATATTGCTGGAAAATTGATGATGAATCACAGACAGCCACACTAATAGACCCAGGCTCTGTCTTTGTTCCATCTTTGTGCCTCATGCCGTTCATGCTACATCCACATTCAAACACAAAAAGTCTAATTCATTGTTCATTGTCACTCAGTTGTTCTCGTAAATAATTTTCAGTTTAAATATGTATTTGTTATAGGTGGGGTCATGAACTGAAGAGAACGAGTCACTTAGGGATAACATTTTAGCTGTTTTTTCTTTGTTTTTCTAGATAAATTCATGTACATGACGACAGGTGGACCTGGTGATTACAGAGGTTGAGGAGCCGGTCCGTTTTCTGCTGGAGACGAGGGTCAGAGTGTGCTCCCCAAATGACAGGCTGTTCTGGCCCTTCAGCAAGCGTAACTACACTGAGACCTTCTACCTTAAACTACGACAGGTATGTCAAGTCATGGCACAGTTTCCCATCCATGATTGAATCAACGCAAGCGATGGTGAATTGCTCTAAATATCAGCTGTGACCTGCAGTTTCTTAACACACTTTATCTGACGTCTTCTCAATGCATCTCTCCTCAGATGGAGCGTAAGGAGCGTAAGAGTCCTGCCTCTGACACACTGTATGAGGTGGTGAGTTTGGAAAGTGAGACTGAGAGAGAGAAACGGAAGACCACAGCTAGTCCCGGCATCCTGCCCACCGGGCCGGGTACCATGGTTCCTTCTCCACCTGAGGATGATGAAGAGGAAGGTGATTGGATGCTGTCTTACTTTTGTCACTCAGTATGAGATTTTTATTTTATTAAAGGCACAAGATATAGGGTAGCAAATAAATTATATTATGTAATTCATGATATAGCAAAAGGTATCATTTGTTATTGAAGCTATATAAAAATATTCTTTACAAAAATGACCACAGAAAACTACAGAAGAAGCCTGACTAGCAGAACCATATGAAAGTGGTTTGAACTTTTTGATCCTCTATATCATGTCAGACACAAGAACAGCCTTAAAAGCGGACACTGAGCTGGCAACATAATGTAACTTACGTTTTGCTGTTACTCTGGAGGGCTGAACAATTGTGGTATCCTCGGTCAGGACTGACCTCATTCAGAAGCATGCACCTCCTAAACACAACAATAAAAGTATCACTACCCAGCAGCATGAACTTAGACACAGTAAACAAGCATAAAACCCAGCTGAATTATGCTGCATACTTTCAGATATTTAGCGTTCAACATTTACAGCCCTGACTCCATGCTTTACATAGAAAATTAAGCCTCCACCCCCGTGGGGCTTTACCAGATATAGACTTGTGGTCCGCAGGAGTCAAAATCCCGTGGGAGGTCAGACACTGTGTTACAGAACTGTTTGTACTGTATCTGCACAGAGAACTTTGCTAGCAGTTGTGTGTGTATTTTTGTATTTTTTGTGTGAAGGTAGGAGTAAGTAGGTAATAGCAATGAGAATAAAAGGCAGAGAGCATAAATTAGGTAATTTTTGTACCCGCCTGTGTGCTAGTCTTTGATCTACTGGCCTTCTTGGTACAGTTTGGTCTCACTCTTGGACTGCATATCCATTGACTCCTCCTCTGTTGTTCTGAATATTTCTATACCATAGGTACATATAGATAGTACAGTTTTTCCACTGATAAGTATATAGTCATTTTTATTTACATGGAAATGGAGTATTTAAAGTGTAAATCTAAAGATGTAAGAAAGAAAAGGACAATAATGGATCTCACTTGTTTTTCACCTCTGTGTGTCCAGATAACGATGAGCCGTTACTCAGCGGGTCAGGTGACGTTTCCAAGGAGTGTGCAGAGAAGATTCTGGAGACCTGGGGAGACTTGTTATCTAAGTGGTAAGGCTTTGTTCCCTTGTTGTTCCTTTGTCCTTCTACTTTTATTGCTGTTGCAGTGAATGCACACACACACACACACACACACACACGCTTGTGGGGTTTAGCAGATGTACTGTATGTGAAAGAAAGGGCGGCAGGCAGGAGTTCTTGATAAGCAGCTTATTAAGATGGCTTCCCTCTCCCATTACTTCATTTGTTTTTAATCAAAAGCTTGTGATGAACTGAGTAGAAACTGCCTGGACTTTAATTAGCTGTAAGTTTAGGTCCACACACACACTGTCTTTCTTCATGTATATTCTTCAGGAGAATAGAATAATTTGGTTGAATTTGTATATATATATATATATATATATATATATATATGATTTGTTTTACCTTTATATATGTTCGTCTCAATATATCTAATTTCTTTCTTCATTACTTACTATATTTTGGTGCTTATAATGTCCTTTTTACAATACCAAAAATGTTGACCATTGGAAAACTGAATGTTTTGGAGGTATTTATGTCCCTCTGTAAAGATAATTCTTGAAGAGAGTAATCATAAGACTAGCCTGTCATAATGCCAGGCTTTGTGCAAATGATTGGTCATTTTTTGTGTGTGTTGTGCCATTGTGGGATGTAGTGCTCAGGGAGCACAGAAAGGCCAATCACAGAAAGCCCTTTAAATCTTATGCCCCTAAGGACCAGGCCTGGCATTACTTACGTCACATGCACGCACACAGCATGCACACAACACACACACACACACGTACACAGTATACTTTTGTTTCCCTTCTTGGTCTCAACAGAAAATGCCACTTATTGCATAACCTGATGCTCGGAACAAATAAACCAAAGAATCTCTGAAAATAGAGAGAGGGATAAATTAAGAAGGGGGGGTGGGGGGGTGAGAATCATCAGGGATTTTCTGTCAACTTCAGTCAGGCGACAGTTGGTAGGTAGATACAGCTGTGCCTCCAAGTTTACCTTCTCTCTCCATCTCTAATTCTGTCTTTGTTACTTGCTAGTGGGCCGGCAGATGCCTGAGTTCATTTCACACTGCGTACTGTGTAAATCACTCTCTGACATGGAGTGCTTCCCCAACAGCTTCAACATTTAAAATGTGAATATTAGGAAGGAAAGAATGCATTAAAATTTGCCTCTTGTATTGTTGCTGCTATTGTCTATTGTTTTCCAATCATGCTAAAAATAGTGCCAGGGTAAAATAAAGCAAAACTAATGTAGAAATGTGAGAGAAAAAAGTAGAGAGGTAAAGAGTGGTACACATTTTCTGTGCAAGAACAGCACATATTTTACATTCTGAAACATTCTGACTTTGAATGTATCCCTTGTTGGAAGTTGGACTGGCACCTTTGAAAGACTGCTATACATGTACAGGAAATCCTGTGGTGGTTGGTGATAAAACTCGCACTCATTGTCAGGATCTTAGCCCAGCAGAGGAAATATTGCAGATGCACTAATTGCATAATGAGGGCGTTATGAGCGTGCCATACTTTTACAATTGTTTGAATAAGCAGCACTAAATAATGTCACAATTAGTATGTCAACTACCATGGTTGATCCTTCCTCGCCTCCCTTCTCTCAGGCATATGAATTTATCAGTGCGTCCCAGACAGCTGCCAGCTTTGGTGCGGAGTGGCATTCCTGAGGCTCTCCGTGGGGAGGTGTGGCAGCTCCTGGCAGGCTGCCATAACAATGACCACCAGGTAGAAGAGTACCGCACGCTTATGACAAAGGTAAGAGCACACAAAAGGATTGTCTTTGTTAAAATCATCAGGACACACTAAATTCCCATGATCCCCTAATGTTGGTGGTGAATTGGAAAGCTGTCCTTCCACAAGATGATACATACAAAAGCTCCCCTAATTTTAGGATGCATCAGCCAGCTGTCCATCACCTTTGATGATTTCTTAATCTTTGTAGCCGTTTTAACTGATTGTTTTTACACTTTTGATCTCTTTAACTGAAACACATTTAATTCAAACCGATGTAATTTCTGTTTTTTTTTTGGTTTGTGCTGGCCTGAGCATGTGTTACTGTTATTGTCCTTGGCAACAGTTTGGTTAAGATTTACTTCTTTGAAAGTACACCTCTGGGGCCATTGATGGCACAGATAAGTTCTTCTCTCATGTGCTTCAAACATGTGATGGTAACCACTGCTGCTGCCCTGCAGTGCGTGCCAGCTGATTACTTTTGGTGTCATCCAAGTAAAAGGTTTATACATTTTATTCAAGAAGCCATTTGTCATGTGTTAATGGTTCTGTTAAAGCTAATAATCCGGAACTTTTTTGCCATCTTATAAACAAAGGAACTAATAATCTATGTAACTTCCTGTTTTTGAACATTAAATGTAGGCAATCATATTTTATGAGATTAGCTGTGTTTCTTTTAGCTGCAAAAGTCAAGAAAAATGTAACAAGAGTAAGAGACAAGTAATATCATGTGTGGAGTATTCAATCCAGTTTGCGAATTGAGCCTGGAACTTAATTATTATTATTTCGATAATGATAATTTCAAGGGGGGTATTTTTAACATTAGTTTTGTCATTTGCTAGTGCCTCTTCCTATGTGCCCTTTTCTGCAGACCTGTGTCAGAGAGTGTGAATGTTTGTCTGTTTGACCATGTGTGTAAGCACCAGAGGTGACTTAACCCTGCTGTAGATGGTTAGCTCCCCCTGTATGCTGAGAACAGTGTGTTAGTCTATGTCCTTTTTTTTTCTGGCCGCAGCTCTGTCCACTGTTCTTATGTAAAGGCAACATCCCCGGGCAGCAAACTGGGTCCCAGGTGGTGACAAGATGTTGGTCTTGCCCTTTCCTCCCTTCTCTGCTCCCACTCTCATTTTCTTCACCCTCCCTGACCAGAATTCTCTTCTTCTCTCCTCCCTCCCTTTCTCTTTTGCCATTTTTGCCTTTGTGCTTTTCTTTTATTTTGCCTTACATATCTGGCATGTGATGATTGCAACTTTGGATACTTCCAAGTTTAAAAAAAAGGATACACTCAGATAGAAGGTTTACACCAAATAAATAACTTTCACTCTGCCAACAATAGCAGCGGATCACAATGCTTCTGAATTGACCGCCTTTAGACAGAAAGTTGGAAAGGAATTTATTGCAGAAGCACCAAAGCATTCCAGGTTTGTACGTCAGCCAAAAAACACACAGAGAAAAGTGTGGAGAACACGTGCAACTAATCTGATACTGACAGATGATTTGCGTTTTTTTATTTAGTCTCTGTAGAGCAAGACTGGGCAAGGTAGCCAAGAACAGTTAAAGAGCAGAATGACTATAAATATGATGAGGAATGAGGAATGCATAGAGTAAGTTACATTGATTTTTTCCCACACTAGAAATAAGATGTGAAAAACAATGTGAATGCAAAATGTTGAAAAGAGTATTGACATGTATTGCATAACAGTACTTGGCACATTATATGTTTTAATTAAGAAAGAATTTTCTTGCACATGTTTGTATTGTTACTGGTACTAATTAACGCTCATCTTCTCATGTACTGATTCCTTATTATCCTTTTTAGCTCCTGTTGTAAAATGTATACATTGTGTACACAATGTGCTATACTCATATGCCAGCTCGTAATTTGTTTTCTGTGCTTTCTGTATTCAGCCTGTGACTGTGTGCATATCTTTGTGCTGTATTGCACTGTATACATATAGTGTCCTAACTAGTGCGCTCTTTTGTGCACTAATCCTGTCTGTGTTCATACCATATATCTGAATGCAGGGCATTGATTGAAGTGGAAACAGGACTAGGCCTTAGCCATTTAACCGATTCATTCATTATTGAGCCCTAATGAAGTCCTCAAAATAAAGATCCCTGCTGCCAAGTACTGGAAGAACCAGTCCAACTTTGAATGCTAACTAATTAACAATCGCATAGTAACTGATAAATTCGGCTGTTGTAGCCATGGCCCACATTTTGCATTAGCCCCATACTCTCAGTCACTGAGTTATTAAATTTGTCAAACAAATAATTGGTCTCAGCAGCATACTGGTCCAGGGCCAGCTGATTTTAATCAGGAGGATGTTACGAAATACAGCAGAGGACACATCAATATTGAGAGTTTCAGAAAGCTTGAGAGTTAGCTAGTTGCAACAGTAAGAGGAGCACAGCACAAGCAGATTAAATAGCTACGTGGGTGATGATTAACTGATTACTTACCTACTTTATTCAGTCATCTTGTCGTGGGTATGATGGAGTGATGAGGAAAGTAATATAGACAGATTGCTCTACGCTGGAAGGTAGTAACAACATAAAAATATGTCATTATAATTCTTCTCATGGCCTAGTACCAAATGTAAAGAGGCCTTGTGATTGGGCACCATTGTGCTAAACTATGTGGTCATGCACAGTTTGGGCATATTCACTGTTACTCTCCGTAAGAGGAGTAAACTGTTGATAATATAAACAAACAACATACACTGAATTACCAGCTTATTAGGTACACCTGTACAGTTGCATGACCCTTAATGGTGGTGTTGTATAATGAATTATGTTACTGCATGATTTAAAGATGATATTCAACCTCCATTTACTGCATGAGGGTGTTAGAGTGAGGGAATACAGTACAGAGTGTTATCATTTTTAGAACTGTCTCCTAAGGTGTGTATAAGAGCACACACACACACACACACACACACACACACACACACACACACACACACGCACCAGCTTCTTCGGAGAGCAAAAACAACATAACGATCTGTCTGCCTGCCTGTCTCTGTCTGACCCACAAAATGACCTGTCTGCCCACCTTGTGTCTGTCTTTATAATCATTTGTGTTTGTGTACACGTGACTCTGACTCTACCTAGACCTGTTTGTATTCCTGTCTACTTGTGTGTCTTCCTGCCTCTCTCTAACTGCCTGCTCATTTGTGTTTTGTCACAATGTCTGTAGGTTTATTTGTACATTGCTGTTCTAACCTCTGCTGGGCAGACAGTGAAATATTTTACTTTGAAGCCAGTTTCCCACATTAAAAAATATGCAGTGAATGCCAGAAGGTTCTGGCAGACAGACGACAGAAGGAAGTAACTTTCTACAGTAATGTGTTTGTTTGTCTGTGACTATGTTCTCACCACCCTTGCCTAAACTTGGTATTACTGTACTAGCATTAGGTTCATCGTAGAGACAAACCTCATTCATTCTCTCATATAAATGACAATGACAATATTAGCTGTCCATTTTCCATTCCTACCATGCATTCCTCTGATTAATAAATAAACTCAGCTGACCAGTTCTTTTTATGTTTTTGTTATATAACGCTGATATAAAAGTTGGCACAGTGTGACTGCTTATTTTTATATTTATATGAAAACAGAGCATAATTATCAGGATTATGAGCCTGCAGCTGGGTGGTGGTGGATGGTGGGTGTTAATTATAATCAGATGGATGTCAGCCAATGTGACAGTTGCAAGGTAAAGTATCATATTCTTTAAATAGTGAGTAGCTTAGCGTGTCAACAGAAAATCTATTCCATTTTTTGATGATTATACATGTTTTTAAGCAAAAATAAAAAAACATGAATTGCCACTTGATATTAAGCATTCATTGTATTCCATCACCACAGTAACAACAGCAATGTCAGTAAAGAGCAGTTAGTTAACTATTTAACCAATAATATGATTAGACATGAGAGAATATCAGCAGTATTAAGCTCTTTATCATTAATTATTGTAATTATCAGCTTGTTTCTTTCCCTTAAAATCAGATATGCTCTACACAAGTTTAGGACCATTGTGTTGTTGCCAGGTGCGTGTCAGCTACTGGATGCCTGGCCTTCAGAGGTTGACAAGCGATGAGGGGGCATTCGTTAGGCAGATACCAGGACTTAGTCATGCTCAGGTTGGCAACTGGGTGACAGTACATTATGCTTCCTTCTACCTCTTTCTCAAACCTCCATTTTCTTGTTGCTGTTTTTGTCCTTGCTATAGTGTGTTTCTTTCTCTCCTCCATCTCTTCCTCCTACAGTCTCATCTTTGATGAGCTCTGTGTTTCCTTTGACTCCCTTCCTCATCCCTTCCTCAATTTCCTCTCCTTCCTCCTCCAACCCTTTTTGTCGTACTGTCATCTATTTTTAGCTCCTCGTGTGGTGGGCAGAGGAGGTGCGTGAATGCATGGGAGTGTGTCTGGATTGCGGTGGAGAAAGGTGCAGGCTGTGTGTGTGTGTGTGTGGCTATGTGGGTATGTTTGGGTCTCCATCACGCTACACCAAATTGCCCTGCACGAGACAAACTCTGCAGTCTTCAGAAAGTCATTAGGATGAAAATGTAGAGCATGCAGCGCTACACACTGATGTTTCTAATTTTAGGACAGGATTCTGAGTAATTAAATGTAATCATCACATCATATAATCTAAAAATAACTCTAGCACAGGTTCAGGCGCTTTGCAGAAGGGCTGAAGGGGACTTGCTGGGGCTAACCTATTTAAGAAATAGTATAAAAAGTGTTCAGTTGAGTCCTAACCAGTTCTTTAGAGCTTAGCAGTAGAAAAAAACTGGCTCTTAATGTTGCCATGAGGAAGATTAAAAAATGTTTTGCGAGGTCATGCTACCTGGGTATAGCTGACTGTGACAAAGCAACTCTCATGCTAAGTGGAAGCGCAGCATCTGCTGATGCATGCAAAATCAGGAGCAGGTGCATATCTGTTAAAGGCTCTCAGGTAGGGCTGGACAATTAATTGAAAAGGTCACTTTGACCTACACTGTACATTTGCTGCCAGACTAACAACTGATTACTCACGTGCTTTCAGCGTCACTTTCTGCCACTCGCTCTCACATTCACTCATCCACTTGCTCATCCACTCACTTGCTATGCACACATATTACACTTCAGTTAAAAGACCTAACTCTGCTGCTCTTACAACAGCACCTGTCTCGTAGATGTCCTTTGATGAATGACGAAAGGAAGTTAGCAAAGCTCACAAAGTGGGCAGGTGAAAATCATTTGTTCCGCATTGATATTAAATAATTGAGTTAAAGTTTAGTAGGAGCAGTCATAATTCAGCAGCGGCGATTTGCAGAAATATATGAGAACCATGTCTCTTTAATATGCACGACAACATTAACTTATTAATTAACATTTAGATTGATGGATTTGTGAAATCTGTGAATAAATAAACCCAGCATTACTGTAGCATATTTACAGTACAAACCTTGTCAGTGAAATATGAGGGCAAAAATACCAACAACAAAATAATCGTTCAATAATTGTAATTAGGTGAAATGTAAAATGAATCGTGATTTTGATTTTAGGTGAAAGCTTGACTCTCTAGCCAAATGGACAGAAGGACATGTACACACATACACAAATACATGGACAAAGATAGTGTTCCAATGCAAACATTGTACAACATGAAAAGTATAAATGCAGTCTGAAAACGTTTGGATCTAGCTTGTACTGTGCTTACAGATAGTACATTGGACAAGAATATTTTTATGAGAAATGAAATAGTTGCCACTTAGTACTGTAGAGTTATAGAGAGACAGACATATGCACACACATTTGGAAAGAAAACAACAACAATAAAAAACACTTTTATATCGGAAAATACCCTAGGGGAATGGGGACAATTTGTGTAATTATACATTACATAAGTTATACAAGGTTTACACAGCACTAAAAAGTGTTTGTGAGCATTTCTTATTGTGCTGTTATTTAAATAATGTATTCATGTTGGTGGAATTGTTGTTAGTATTATATATAATGGTATTATTATTGTTAACGTTGTCCCCGTGACTTTCCTGCTGTGACTGGAAAAGTCCGGGAGGGGTTTCCGTAATGTTTTTGATCTTGACGTTTCCACATGATGTCATGTGATTGATGCCGTCCTCCACAAGTTTTAGCACAAATGCCTCAGGTATCCAGTTATTTGGGGTGGCGATGGTGCAATGGATAAGACTATGCCTTTGGTGTGAGCGACCCAGGTTCATATGAATATGACAGGTGCAGAGTAGTCTCAATTCTTACACATTGTACATTTTAGTCGCCAAATGTTAATTTTAGCATCATTACATTTTTATGTTATCTGAACTCGGCCGAACTTTCACCATGAATTGCGCCTAGAAGGCAGACCCAGTTGCTAATTACATAATTACTTGCTGTGTTAGTGAATCGGTTGCTAATTACACACAGCTGTGAGCCCAAATGAAATTATTTGTGCTGTGCTTTGATGTGTTGAAATCTTTCTCTCAGTTTCTTTAACTTTTATGTTGCTGCAGTTTGGTATTAGTAGATTACAAATGTGAAAATAACTAACTTAGTAAAAATCTATATTTTATTCAGTGTACGGTAGAGTGCCAGTATGAAAACAACCCAGAGAGCCAGTGAAAATGTGGTTAAGGCTTCCTTAATAAACACACAAGTAGAGAACATGTAAAACATCTGTTAATAACTGCGCATTTAACACCGTCCAACAAAGTTCTGCCCTGTTTCTGTGCTTTTTATTTATAGGAACAGATAATTCCACACACATAAAAGCTGATTAAACCATACCGCACATACTGTATGTTTAGTAGTTTCAACATACTAGGATGCACGCAGCTATAGGGGGACCTTTTGTCCTGTACTGTATGTCCTTGGTTTACAATCAGATAAGTAATAGGAATGTTTCCTGTAAACTGTACCCAGGCAAGCAGTTATTATTTCGCTAGAAACAAATACAATAACTTTCTGCACTGTAGAAAAGACAATGTCCGCATTCTTACAGCTCAAAATGTCCTATCCCTTGGGAATGAGATGAGAGGCTACTGAGATGGTTACAGTCGTAAGTCAGTTTTACAGGAGCTGTCTTAGAACTGATTGTTACTAATTTTAACAGTGTGATTGAGTATGTTTAACAGTATATTTGAATCCTGGGGTGACTATGAGAAACACCAGCAAAAAAAAAGAAAATGAGGAGGGATGTGAGGGCGGGGAAGGAGGCAGCCTCGTGCCCTTGCGATGGATCATTGGTTGGAGCCAGGGAAGGGGAGGGGCCTCAGAGCCACTGTTTCTGTAGAGAGAGAGGCAGAGAGAAAGAGGGAGAGAGACAGCAAAGGAGGATACATGAACAAGGGGGGTTCTCCCAGCATCGGTATGCCTGCCTACCTCATTTCTACTCCAACACAGTTGCTGCTCCTCTGGATTGAAATATCAGCTGAGGTGTGTTTGTATTTGTGTGTTTTTGAATATCATTCACCCCGCACACTGCCTTCATCCTCTAAGCTCACGGCAGCCTGCTGTGATCTTACTGCGAAGGACCAGACAGAAACTGAGCAAGAGGACATGGAAGAGTGGTGAAACGGGCCGAAGGAGAGGCAAGAAACAAGGACAAAGAAGAAGAAACTGGAAAGAGAAGCAGGAGGACAGAACAAAAAGGACAAATAAGCGCTTAATGTCTCCTTCCCTCATTACACAATGATGTCTTTTCACTGGAAGCCGTGTTGTGACTCTGTGGACTAAAGACAGATAAGAGAGAGCTTCAGTCTGCTTTCTGCAGCTACAGCAGATGTTGAAGGCATCTCTGACTTTATAGGGAGCGGAGGTATTTCAAGCATAGATTGGGCTGGAATTCCTTTAAACAAAGTCACACATCTTTTTATTTTTTCCTTTTTGTGCCTTCAGCGTGGAACTTTGCTTTACTGGGAAAAAAAGAAGAAGAAAAGGAATACACAGGTTCCTTTTCGTGCGTAATTCTGTTTTTACCCTGGTGGTTTTGTATCTTTTCATAAAACCACAACTGCCTACACTGAGGACAAACCCAGGGGGGGCTTGCTCACTGTTCTGTCTTTTCTATCCCTCCTGTATTTGAAATGGCAGATGGCAACAGTCTCATCATGGAATCGCAGCATGGGGATTTTTGTTTGGACTGAAACCATACAGCTGCTTTCAGAACTAGCCAGCTACCTGACAAAATAGTGGGTTCTTTGGTTCATCGTACCCTTGAAGGGCCCCTCAGACACGTATTCCTGCCCAAGATGATGAATTCCTCCCTGGATCCACTGAACCAAAGCTCTGCTGACCCCACAAACTTATCTACTCCCTTCTGCCTGCTTGAGATAGGCTATTCCCAAATTTTCTCCACCTGCCTCCTTGAAGTCTCTATCATACTTCTCCTCACTGTTCTCATTATTTCTGGCAACCTGGTGGTGATTTTTGTGTTTCACTGTGCCCCCCTGCTCAGCCAGCACACCACCAGTGCTTTCATCCAGACTATGGCGTATGCTGATCTGCTGGTGGGGGTCAGCTGCCTGTTCCCCTCCCTGTCCCTCCTCCATCACCTCCAGGGCCTCGACCCTAAACTCACCTGCCAGGTGTTCGGTTACATGGTATCCGTTTTGAAATCAGTTTCAATGGCATCGTTGGCATGTGTGAGCGTAGACCGCTACATTGCCATCACACAACCTCTGACTTACGCGTCCCTAGTGACACCTTGCCGAGTGCGCTGCTGCATCGTTCTAATATGGTTGTACTCTGCTCTGGTGTTTCTCCCATCTTTTCTCGGGTGGGGGAAGCCTGGTTACCACGGCGATGTGGTGGAGTGGTGCGCAGTTGAGTGGAGGACTCGTCCGGCTTTCACAACTTTTATTGTTGCAATGCTCTACGCCCCGGCTGCTCTCACTGTCTGCTTCACCTACGCCAACATCTTCAAAATCTGCCGACAGCACACCAGGGAGATCAGCGAGCGGCATGCACGTTACAGACCCCAACAGCTGCAGGGCCCGGGATTGACAGTGGGATCTGTGGTCAAGGACAACAGTGCAATAGAGCAAGGGCAGTTGCCCCACATGTCCCAACCACAAAAATCCCAGCCCCAGCATCAGCAGCCCACATCAACATACCCAGACAAGCGATATGCTATGGTACTATTCCGCATTACAAGTGTATTTTATATCCTATGGTTGCCCTACATTCTCTACTTTCTGTTGGAGAGCGGAGGGATCTACCACCATCCTGCAGCCTCATTCCTAACCACGTGGCTGGCCATCAGCAACAGCTTCTGTAACTGTCTCATCTACAGCCTCTCCAATTCTGCCTTCAGGAAAGGTCTCAAACGCCTCTGCTCCTTCTGTTTACAGCGCAGTGGCGGTGGCTTTGGGGTTAGGAACACCAAAAAGGCTTTTGTTGGTTCTGTTGAAAAAGGATGTGCAGGGTATGGATATGGTCACGGGCAAATTGGAATTGGCACAACATGTCATGTGTAGGGCACTCGTAGAGGAAACCCTTGTCCCACATTGGCGTTGGAACTTTTTAAAAGATGCCTCATATGATTGCTGTAAGAGGTCTCCTCTTTTAAGCTAAAATGTGCTGTAAAGAGATGGAAGGAGGCGTTGATCTGCCGCAGCCGCTGCTTCTGTTGCATTTGGAGGTTACACAAGCGCCCTCTCTGCACACGCCACAGCCGGCAAAGAGAGAGAAAGGCCTAAATAACCCTGCAAGGTGTTCTAAAACAGTCAAAGAAACCCAGCTCATTGTGTGTGGACTGGGGTGATAAATGGAAGGGGTTGAAAAAGGAGAAGAAAAAGGCGTCTGATAATCTCTGGACGTGAACTCTTTTGAGGTTGAACATTTTTATCTATTAGTTTTCTTTTATAAGAAGCCATTCCTTAAGTTATTTTGCCAAAACAATAAAACTTTGTTCTGAAAAACTGTATGCGCAGTATGTGAAACAATGTGACCTCTGTTGCCCGATTATTATCACAGTATGAGTTAAATGCACAGCTGACTGCTGTGTTTTAGTAATGTCGTGCTGTGGTAAACTGCCAATAGCAAGCTCTTCTGAATATGTTTTTACGCGCTCTACCCCCCCCTCGGTATTTGAATACTGAAAGTGATGCAACAGTGTGTTTGTGTGTCGTGTATTTGTTGTGTCTCTTGATATTGACTGATTGTCAGTCAGAAAGAAATTATGTAGGTGCAGTACACATGTCATTTTATAGTTTGTTTGCATTGACTGAACAAATTATGGCTTGTCAGCGTCCAGATCTATTCATAAACTTTAAAATTTTTAATTATTTATTGATGTTGTACAAGACAAAATGTTATGTATTTAACTAAGTCGTGGGTTCACACATTGATATATGGTATGAGATGTTACCCAGCTTTGGTGTACGACTGTTAACCTGACAAAAAGCAAACGTAATTGTGATTTTTTTGTTTGTTTTTTTACAACAACATTACATTGTACGTTTTGTTGTTTTGATTATACAACTAAACCATTTTCATAACTGTGTCCAATATAAAGCAAGACCAAGAAAGGATGTATTTTTACACATTATTGGGCGGATTTATTTTAAGGCTTTTGGTCGTAACGGTAAAAATGTTAAGCAGTTAGATGAATGACCCTTTAACTGTGATCCTTACCCCTTGTCTTTGGAATTTGCTGAGAGGAATAGTCTTAATGAGAAGTCATGAATGCGTGATAGTGGAAAATACACATTTACACATTCTTGCAAATGATAACCTTGTTACAAACCTAGCTGTATGCTGTATTCTGGCAGTATTATTGTGACTGCATTTCGGGAGTAGGACTTGTGCACGCACACAAACACGAACACACACAAACGAACACACACAAACACACACACACATCGACACAGGAGGATCACATGTAAACAGAACAGACAAATAGCCCATTCACTCTCCCAGCAGGCCAACCTCCATTAAGAGGGACTGACCCCTGAACTCCCTGGGAATTGCAGTTACATATGTGTGTGTATATATGCGTCTGTGTGCATGCATGTGTTGTAGTCTGTTTCTGTCATCTTGTCCCCATGTGTAGTTGCGTGGGTTCTTTTCACTCTTAACTTGATATTTAATACAAACTAAACAAGACCAATAATAAGCGGAATTGAATCGAAGTGTAAATACTGCGTCATAAACTCAGAAGTTGTGAAAAATCATCTATTTTGAACCATGGAGAATTGTGTTAATTCATTTAGGTGCAGATAATCTAGCTTTATATCCTTTTATCTAATCTACCAAAGAGAACAGCAAATATATTTTTTTCTAAATATTTAGTAAGAAGCGAGGGGGTTTTGCACAAAGTTTGTTTAGGTCCACTGCACTGTGTCGGCTCAGTGATGCCTTATGTGCATTAATGACTGGTTCTCAGTTTATAGTGATATACTGTTGCCTTGATATACAAATGAAAATGAACTGTTGGGAAAGTATTTTCCTCTTACGTTTAGGGAGGGCTCAATTTATAGACACACGACTGTTTTTAGAGGGAAAAGCACTTACTGGAAATTGAATGCATGTGCAGAGATGAAAATGCACATTAGCCAGCCTTGATTCCACATTCATTACAAAAATAACCTGAACCCCATTTGTTGCATAACGTAATTAAAAGATTTGACTATTAAATCAGCCACTCGTCAAAAATGAATGATTTCCAATTATTGTTCCTGTCTTCTGTAAAGCTGAAAATAGTGGAAATAGGAGCGAAAACATGGCTCAAAACTGTTTTTTTGTTGTTGTTGCATGTATTTGTTTGCGTGTGTGTAGGTGTGGATGAGTGTGTGTGCAGGCATGTTAGGATGTGACCATTGGCTGAATTAGACTGTTGACGGTGTTCTAGCAAGGGTGCTAACAGAGCTATCACCTTTGATTGATTTATTAGCTGCACATCACTCTCCTTGAGTATACTGTATTTTGTGAGTGTATGTGAGTGGGTTGTACAATAATGGTAGACGGATTCACATGTTGTCTTTAAGTATTTTAGCTGTCCTCTGTGAAACTTTGCCAAATATTGTAATCTTTCCTGTTTTGTTCAGAAATGGCGTATTGAATGTTGTCAAACTACAGAAATTTATTTTTGTGAAATTACTTACTCTCTGTTTTTTCTCTCGTGAGGTGATAAAATGTTGCGGATTCTAAGTAGGTTTAGTAGCATGCTTACCTATTGAAATGATTGAAACAGTGTCTTTATGAAAATGGATTTTAATTTATTTTGCCAGCTCACCAGAAAAGTATATTATTTCCCACAACAGTTAATGGTACAGTTCCTCAGAAATGTGTAAGATTTAGGACTTTTAAGTGTCATGGGAAATATGCCTAAACATGCTCACATTAGCGTTCACACACATTCCCCTTTTTCCTGTGGGAAAACAATTCTCATGTTCTCAAGGGGAACGACACTCTGGTGGTGGCTGTATGGAGGTACAGTGCCATGTTGGATAGGATTAGAGAAAACAAGACTGAATATGGTCACTAGGGTTTGATTTAGGAAACCATTTGTAGATTAAATGCAGCCTTGTCAGTCACATACTGTTTATGTGGTTCAGTGTAAATAAAAGTGTATAAATTGAACACATGAAGTTTTTAATTATAATTGGGGCATTATTTAAAATAACCTATAAAGTCCAATTTGATGCACAGATTTGTATCTTGAATATATTATTGTGTCAGTTCAGGAAAAAAAAAGTAGTATAGTAGTAGTATTTTACACCAAAAGAATACTGGTTGACTATTTTATCTCAGAGTAGAGATTGTACAGTACCCTGAACAAGCAGTCCACCCTCACTGTTATATTGCACTTTAACACACACACACACACACACACACACACACACACACACACACACACACACAAACCCCACACACAGTGGTATTTTATTATCTGTCTTTTAGTCTGTTTTAGCTTTTGTTCTTTGTGTTTTCGTAAGGCTTGAAATAGGCCATACCAGACCCCCACTTAATGGCTGACTCATGACCCAGCTCTTCTTCTTATTTACACATTAAAATGAGACTGACCACTGTAACAACTTGGTTAGGAAATGTCCCAAAAGATGCTCTGCATCTGTTTTTGTCCACAATGAATGCTGAAAATTGCTCACAGTGAACGATGGTGCATTTGTGAATTGGATATTGAAAAATGTATGCCGTTACCAAATTACATCATGTCATATTTCATACGTCAGGGGTGTTGAATTTGGTTTTTGTAAGATGTCTGTTTTTATAGATGGAGAATGTTGCAATAATGGAAATGGTCAAACATGTTTAATTTTGCTGTCATGAAAGTCAGTCTCTGAGACTAATAAGATCTTTTTTTATTACATAATGCTTTGTAGGTGACAAGCCTATATGGTATTGTAAGATGTACATGTTGTGTATCTGTACTGAGCAAATAAATGTAATGTGATCTCAATGTATTCAAAATTCCTCGTTGAATTACTTTGCTGCAAACAGCTGCATGGATTTTTAATATCTGTCTTTCATTAGTTATCACTACTGACATGCTGTGTAAGTGATGACAAATATTACTAAGAAAATACAGAACCTTTTACACAGTTATATTTAGTGCGGTGGAAGCCTTGGCCAAGATCAAATAGCATAGTTGATAATAGTTGACAATTTGCAGTGCTAACATGCTGTAAATGGACTGCAAAACAGCAGTACCATATTTGTGCAAGCAGTTGGTCTGTTGAATTTGCATGCTGGCAAAGCTACAGTGGGAAATGTTAGTGGACTCAATTGGAAAATAATACCATAAGAGAAGGCAGGCCATTTGAGTTTTGGCAGTGCGTGCAGTATGTGGTGTTGTCTTTGTGATTTATATTTCTTCGTCCTGTGTCTGTCATCTCTGTTCTGGTCAGATACATATTTTGCCTGCCCTCCATGTGCCGAAGCAGTACCAGTGCGCAAACGGCACAAAAAGTAGGGCATGAGACAGATGATTAAGATTTAATGATGCTAAGGTGACGAAACAGCGCTACAGGTAGCTTGAGCATGTGCTCTGTTGGGTACAGATTATTGTAAAGGAAAGACTGAAAGAATCACTGGGTATGACTGAGTAGAATTTGCTTTATTAAAAAAGGGGGTAAAAATTGCAGTTGGCTACTTCTGTGTTTTTTATGAAAACATCTGCCAATGCTCTACTAATTAATTTCAAAACATTACAGTTACTACAAAGTGTAGCCCTCAGGGTTGTTTAGGTTGGGGAGCAAGGTTTGTATCAAGTCTGATAAATATCACTTTATGTTCTCATGGTATCTCAGCACGGAGCAGAGAAAGAATAACAGAATGACATGTCTGCTATTGTGTTGAGTCAGAGAAAATCAGGAACATAAACAATAGAGGGCTAGCTTGTCAGTCTTCCCACGGTAGCCCTACTCCGGTACTTTATTCCTGTATTTAGACACACAAAAAATGTGTTTTATTCCTTGATTTCCATTCAGCTTATAGATATATAGATACAGCTATTTGATGTCCCTTGTCACTGACAGTAGACAGAGTGTGTTAGGATACTTCAACAGAAACCGCATTTTTGTTTAAACATTTTACACAACATGTTTTATACTAAATATGTAGTTTAATGTAATATGTTTATTTAGATAGACACACACTGTTGAAATTCTGAAGCCTGACTAGAAGTAACACATTTAACTGTATTTTGGCAAAGCCATTACAGAAAAAGTTTGATATTTTTTGGAAATACACTTATTCACTTCCTTGTCGGGAGTCAGTTAAGAAGATTGATACCACTCTCATGTCCCTGTGTTAAGTATGGAGCTAGTGTGATTAGCCTAGCTTAGCATAAATGCTGGAAACAGGGGGAAGCAGCCAGCCTGTTTCTGTCACAATTTGTCTACCAGCACATCTAAAAATAGGGATGCACCGATCTGACTTTTTCAGTCCCGATACCAATACCTGGGCTTACCCGAACTAATAAGCTGTTTTCCTCACTGTGAGGAAAAGACTGGGACTCATTCTTTTATGTGTAAGGCAACATCAGGCTTAATTAAAAACTTTATGTTTATACCCTTTTTTTCGTGTATGGATTAAGCAAATGAGATTTTTAAAAGTGTTAAATAATGAGCTTTAGAGGTTTTGTTGGACAAAACCAGGCTTGATGCTTCCAGTCTTCATGCTAAGCTAGGCTAACCGCCCCTTGGCTCTTACTTACATTAGTGTAATATTGAGATTCTCATTTAACTCACAGCAAGAAAGTGATTGTGAGTGTCACTTACAGCTATTATTTATTTATGTTGTCACTCTTGTCTTTCATTGTCTCCTTTATACATTTACATAGAGATACACTATCAATAGCATTGTCTTTCTCCTCCCTCTCTTTTTGTCTTTCTATAGCGCTTGAACTTGCTCCCACACTTCCATCCACTTCAACGACACATCGGATGTGTTTTTTCTCCTCTCTCACGCTACCCTCATTACAAACCTTACTTTAACTGAATAGACAGACAGACAGAAAGGAAGCTAATTGGCCATTATGTCAGAGGTCTTTGTACGCGCTCTCAGCACTTAAGATAAGTATGGCTAAGTGGTGCTTGTATAAACATGGATCCTTATCATTCACTGAGAGACTGTAGCCCAGTGTAATGGGCCCTTCACACTGGACGCAGAAACTCCACCCCTGTGCTTTAAAACCCATTGATACCAATGGCTTTTGCTGTGGATGAACAGATTTCTGGAGTTCCTGTGTGTACCTTTTCAGTGGGCTTGTGGCTAAATTTCTACTTTGTTGATTTTTTCTGATGTGTTTTATGGTGAAACCCTTCCATGTCTGTTTGGAAAAAGCGAAGTCACCAGCCAGGAACAGAATATTCAAGTAAAATCATTCAGTGTTAGTCAAGTCAAGTTAAATTAGTGTAATTTATAGGACTGCAACTTACAATTAGTTTTATTATTGATTAATCTGCTAATAATTCAATGAAACGATTTATCATTTGGTCTATGAAATGTAAATGTACACCCCAAGGTCTTGTTATGTTATACCGAAAGTCCAAATCCCAAAGATACTGTTCTGAAGTAAAAGAGAAGCAGCAAATCCTCTAATGAAAGAAGCTGCAACCAGGGAAATTGTTGCACTTTAGAGTATTTTTTGATTGATAAATGACAGAAAAGAGAAAATGATTATCAAAATTGTCGCCTATTATTTTTCTGTTGATCGGCTCATCCGTTAATCAACTAATAGTTTCAGCTCTAATAAATTAGAACTGTACAGAGTCTGTGTTACCAACCAAGCGTAAACATAACGACTGAGGAACAGATCCTACATTATCTGACCAGAACAATCAACATTACTCAAACTTCCCTAAGCATCTAGTCAAGTTGGCTGTGCCTACACACACACACACACACACACACACACACACACACACACACACACACACACACACACACACACACATACACGTACACACACACACTTACGTACACACAGTAACTATGACTTAAAGGGTGTGGTGGAAGTTGTGGAATGGACTTTTAAAAAAGCCCCCTGTTGTCGGTCTCTGGTCCCCATTAGCTCACTTTGTTTTAGTATCCCTTTCTTCCTGCATTTATTCTATACTTGCATTATTTTTGTTTCACTCTCTTCCTCTGTGGAAGTTGGAACAGAAACCTTGGGAAAAAGGAGATGGAGGAACTTGATGGGTCCAATAACAGAGAAACCAAGAAGGTATAATTAGCTACAAAGAGAACAAGAGCGATGTAAAAAATAAAAAAAGCATTGTTGATCAACATTAAGAGATTTCTCAGGGAGATATATTGCTATTTATCATCTACTTTGACCATGAGGTTGCTGTGTGGTTTTGCTAGTTGGGATTTTAAGCACCTCCAAGGATTAATGTTAAAAGTGCCTTTGAGCAAGGCACGGCATGCAGAAAAACTCAGTGTGTAGTGAAAACATTTCCTACATGGATCAATGGAGTATCACATTAATTTGCTCACTGAACATGAACTTGGGGAGGCATTGTTGTTACTTTCTGCTGACTGAACGGAAACCCTTCTTTCTTTCGGGCTGTCTCATTATCCACTGATCCCGGCTACCAGATTTCTGCCGACAAAGTTAAATGAAAGCCCCATTTTGTAGTACGACACCCAACATACAGACGAAACTTCAGAGACACTTCACCTCTAAATACTGTATGAAGATATCTTTTAAATGTGTATTCGATTTATCATCTGATGGCCAGGGTGTCTTAGAGCAGCATTACTTATTTAAAGGCTGTTTGTTCCAAATATACTGATATAATATACTCAATATTGAAATGAGGGGTAATTAATTTAGCTAGTTTACACTCTAGTGTGTGTTTGGTATTTTCACTGTGTGGTGCTCTGTAATCACAGCAGAGGGATATCCCAGAGAAGTATGTTGCCCCTGGCTTTTGTATATACTGTATGCAGTCGAGGTTGCTAGTCTCTGTACTTGTGTCAGTGTACCCTGACCTTAAACAATCTCCTCTGACCTTGTGCCCTCATATTTATTTGTATTAGCCATGCTAGCGGCTTAGCTCGGTGGATGGCAAGGTATTTTTGTCGGCGGGTCAGGTCACCGTTTTGGTCCACACTGAAATTTCTCAACAACTACTGGATGCGGTGTACAAACATTCATGTCTTGTTCGGGATGAATTGCAATCTTTCTGATGATCACTCAAATCACAAATGTTAATTTGTCCATAACATATTTGGTCTGTGACCAAATATCTGCAAACAAATGACATTCCCATCAGCCTCAGCTGTACCTTGTGTAAGATGGCACACACATCATAAACATTATACATGCTTAGCATCAGCATGTTACCATCGTCATTGTGAGTATGTTAGCATGCTGACGTTAGCATTTAGCTCAAAGCATCGTGAATGTGTAAGTACAGTCTCGCAAAGCTGCTTGCACGGTTAAAGACTCTTTGTCATGTTTATTTTCCTGCCAGTGGCACCATTTAGCCCAAATAAAATCACTTAAATTTTAACATGCGCAAAAAAGTCTCCTGCTCACTAGCCTAGTCATTTGTCTATCTGGCTCTGACACAAAATGTCCTGAGAGCTGTTACAGTTCAGATTGGTGATGGTAGATGGTGTGACAATGAAAGCCAAACACCCTATTATCAGCTTGGTGTTGTACAATACAGTATTTCAGTCTCAGTGTCTCAATCTTCAGTGTATAAGAGACCGGGTAATGGCATAACTGTCAGTATTGTATTTGAATCACAGAAAGTTGATAAGTAATAGGAATGTCTCTGTGTTTGTGTTACGTGATGTATTTGGCCTGTTTTCCTTTCCTCCGTTATTTTTATTTTATTTGTCACAGCTGTGTAATTACTGTTAGCAACTATTGTTTGCATTATTTATCCAAGCTTTGGCAAGATAAGAATTACTTGTCATGTTCTAAATAGATTAAAATTTGACCTGAAACGAACAGAGACTGACAAAAAGAGAGTCGTGGAGATGTGTACACTCTGTACTGTAGAAGAGAACACTCTGTGCTACCAGTCATTCATCCTGCCCCTTACTGATGGTCACCACATGCTGAGGAACACTGACCACTGCTGGGCCTCTGTGGAATTTCTTCTCAGATTCTGAAGTGAATCTCCCTCTCTGTCTTCTCACCCGTCTTTACCTTGCTTATTTACCTTACCCTCCCCCTTGTTTGATCCTCAGGAGTCCCCTCAGGACAGTGCCATCACCAGGGACATTAACAGGACATTCCCAGCTCATGACTACTTCAAAGACACTGGAGGAGATGGGCAAGACTCCCTCTACAAGATCTGCAAGGTGGGACACACACGCAAGAGGGTTGTTTAAACTACACCTTTAAAGTCAAGAGCATTATGCAGCCAGTGAAAAATAAAAATGGTTCAGCGCAGTGCACAAAGCTTCATCAACAGCTATAGCTGACTGTGTGCTGCAAGGGGTTGTAAGTCTTTTATGCTATAGAGCAACTGCAGAAACAAATTTGCAGAGTGTATTCCCTTCCTCTGGTCTCCACTCTGTCCCGCATGGTCTGCATTAATAATTTAATTTACAATTAATTAATATAAATTCATATGCATCTTTACTGAAACTTGCCGCAGTTTATTTATTTAACAGATTTGCTTTGCAACCTTGATTGGGAATTTTAAGTCCACACAATATCTGACTTGCAAAAATAAATTTATAAGCTGGCAATGTTTCAGAACTAGACCTTAATCAGACAAATGCCTGATTTGCCATGCAAGTTGTGTGGGAGTTTCTTTGCAACTTTTGACCTATTCGTCCCCCTTTGACGCCCCTGTTCAAATCCACACAATACACAAATGCAATTCAAAATACTTCTGTAAAATATTTGGAAACATGAAAACAAATGACTGATAAAAACATTTGAGAGTTCACAGTGAAGAACTGATAACTTATTACCGTTCAACCTCATGATTACTGTTTAGTGTAAGACATAAACAATAGGTCTTTTTGGTAGCAGTGGTGATCATTGCTAGAAGAACCTGGAAATGAAAGCAATTTGCTTGTGCACATCAGAACTTTATTGGCAAGTAGTAATTTACACATACAAGGAATCTGCTATAGTGATTAGGTGCTGCATATAGACATAAACATACAGTTGACATAAATAAAGGTAAAAATATAGAAATGTGGAATAAACAGATGTGCAACTATGTGCATTACTCCTGGTGTTTCCCCTCATACGGTGTAATTACTGTGTAAATGACTTGCTTTACAGTAGGTCCGATGATAAAGTTTGTAGAGCAGTAGCAAGAGTCAAAGCTAAAGGGAACCGATCATTAATTAACTGAACAGCCACTTCTGGGTGGTTCAGCGAGTTCAGTCTGTCTAGAAAAGCAACAAAAGTTTCAAATCGAACAAACACATACACTAGTATAATCCATCCTCCTGCACAGTTGGCTCTCATACACCGGCATGCACGCACACACACCTGGCAACTTGTCACACAATACTTATTGATCATGAAGTGCCAGTGCTTTCTTTCTCATGAGAATCAACATGTATATACTGTATATAGTTGATGTTCAGACATTTCACCTTATCATTCCATAATTTCACGAGTGGTGATCTGCCTGCGGTTTGCTCACAGTATATATATGTTTTTTTTCATTTTCATTTCATATATTATGTATAACTCAGGTGAAGGCATCCATCTCTTCTCAGACAAACATCTCCTCAGGTCTGCTTGAATAATTCAGTGGGCCCTCCCTTTCCTCCGTGTGCGGATTGATCCACACTTTGTTTGACGTGCACTCGTTATTTGTGTTTCTAGCTCAGTAGGCCACTACAGCCTTTTTTGCAAACTCTCTCCCTTGCTCCCTCCCCTCATATACCCTCATACTCCATTTCCTCTATACCAACATCTCTTCGACCCTTTCCTTTTCCTCCTTCCCTCAGCTAACTCTTTACTTTACTACTGTTACGCTAGTAACGGGGCACTTCATGTTAAAGTCAGGTGTGTTTAACATACAGCGTACAGTGCAACAACTTCTAAAAAGGTAAAAATGACTAGACATTTCTCTGAACAGCTTGTACAACTTCAAGTGCTCTGCAGTCTGCTGTGAGATCAAAAACTTAATATTTATGCACATTTTATTTGACTGATAGAATGACGACTGAACAATGGTAGTCTCTTTTTTGTTTGTGTAATTTCTCAACTTAACTTAAATTCGTCGTCTGTTTATTTTAACGCTGAGCCTTATAGTGTAGCTTGAGCCATGTGGACATCTTTCTCACTAATTGTCAAAGACAAGTTCAGTATTTACTGACACCAAACTTGCCATGGGCTAGTTGGCCAACTCCAAATGAAAAACACATTTTTATTATTTTTTCAACCCACAACTTTTTTACTTCTGTTCCCCGTCGGCTGTTCATCTCTCCTTCACATTACATTTCCTCAACAGAAATCTTGAATCAGTTACAGGCTTCAGCTTCAAGGAAACATTTAGATACCTATCATACAATAATTAGACAAGCACCACCCCAGGTTTATCCTTCATTTCCCTCGTCAGTTTTTGAATTCACTGTGAAACTGATTTACTAACCGTGTGACTCTGTCCTCTCCTTCAGGCTTATTCTGTTTACGATGAGGAGATTGGCTACTGCCAGGGGCAGTCCTTCTTGGCTGCTGTGCTGCTGCTGCACGTGAGTTCACACATCAGCAGGGTCCAGCAAAAATCCTAGCTCTTCAAACTATTTCAAGAGCTGAGGGGGACTGTTTTGTTTTCATTTGACATGACTATCTTTTTGACATTCTGCAATGCTGGAAGATTGGCCTGCCTTATTTGAATGTCTGGGAGCCTTATCTGCAGTATATTATGTAGTGTATGATGTGATGTGCATGATGTACTGTTACTGCACAAAAAAACTGTTCCAGATGCACAGTGACATCTGTGAGACATTGACATTTTATTTTTTATAAATTATGCACAATATGTTCATGTCTATCTGTCACCTGAGACTGACTTGCACTTCAGGGATGTGTCAACACTGCCACCTAGCAGACAAACTGTGTCAATGTCAATGGACACTTAAAAACAGAGAAACATTTTAAGGAGTTATTTAACAAGGTCATGTAGCATAAACCTAGAGATATTTGTATGGGAAAGCTGTTAAGTTAAAGGGTTGTCATATTAGCCTCATCTGAAACCTGTATCATTAGGATATGAATTGCCATGGGGTACTGATTACTAAATCTCATAATCTTCTTCTTCAGATGCCGGAGGAGCAAGCTTTCAGTGTGCTGGTCAAGATCATGTTTGATTACGGGCTCAGGGACCTTTTCAAGCAGAACTTTGAAGATCTGCATTGCAAGTTCTTCCAACTCGAAAGACTTATGCAGGTATGTGTGTTGCATTTGCATCTGAAGTGCTTTTTCTGAATGTACACTATAGCAGTTGTCTTCACTGTTTGCATACAATTGGGCTATTCACTAACTAGTGCTACTTTTTGTTCTCCCCATTATCTTGTTAAACTGTTCTACATCAATGTGTCCTCCTCACCTTCTTCTTTCCCCCAAATACTTTTTCTGTGTTTAACTTCTTTCTTCATTACATTATTATTTACCCTCTTTCTTTTCCTTTCACTTCATTCCCTCTATTTGTTTACCTCCTTGTCTTCCTATCTGTTAATTCATTCTCTCTTTCTCCCCTCTGTCTGTCATTTGCTTTCTGTCTGTCTTAAACAGGAATATATACCAGATCTGTACAACCATTTCCTGAATGTGGGTCTGGAAGCTCATATGTACGCCTCTCAGTGGTTCCTCACCCTCTTCACAGCCAAGTTCCCTCTTTACATGGTCTTCCATATCATTGACCTGCTACTGTGTGAGGTTGGTGATAAAGGACACAAACATAAAGACACTGCGCAACTTTACTGGCTGCAATTCACACATTATTTTGTATTGTTTGTGTTACACGTTGTATTTTCAATTCATTTATATTTTTATATTTAAGTACATACGAAATCCCATACTGACAAAGAGAAAACCTTTTTAGATATGTAAACAATGATAAGCAGGGAGGCACCGTTCCGATACTGATATCGGATATCGACCCGATACTAACTCAAATAGCTGGATCGGGTATTGTGACAAGGGAGCCGATGTATTCAATTTAGTTATGCACATACTACGGTAGACCTGAACATTTTGGAGAGCTAACATAGTATGGAGGGAGCTAAAAACAAGGGGTCAGCAGTTTGGAGGTATTTCACGCTTGATCAAGCCTGATGTTGCCTTACACATAAAAGTATAAGGGTCCCAGTCTCTTCCTCACAGTGAGGAATACAGCTTTTTAATTTTACACTGGTATCGGATTGGTAATCAGCATTAGCCGATACCCAAAGCCCAGGAATTGGTATTGGCATCTGGACTGAAAAAGTTGGATCCGTACATCCCTAATGACAAGTAATGACGCTGAATACAGAAGTTTTGATCATCTATGTAATTTCTCTAGAAGTTGACTGGCGAATTAGACAAATAGACAAATTCAAAAAGTATGATATAAAAGACGTTTCGAACAATGAACTCTCTTCCAGGCCTGTTTGTAAAATAAAGTATCCACTTGAAGGATTCAGCATGGGGGAAATAATGTATTGTCTGATGAGACAAAAATAATTTTTGGCCTGTATGTGAAGCTCTACATCTAGTGAAAACCACATCCCATTCATCACCTGATTAATCCCACTGCTGTGGTGATGCATGGCACTGTGATTCTGTAATGATGCATCACAGCAGCAGAAACTGGGTGACTGTTCAAGATTTAAGATGGTGGATAGAACCAAATGCAGAGAAAAAAAATGCTTCATATCATACGTACTGTCTGACAAAGGTGAAGACTGACCTTTTACGATGGTGGTCCAAGCCAAGACAACTAGAGAGTCTCTGGGTGTCTTTTAGTTAGCCAGCCAAATCCTGAACCTCTGCGGAGAGATGTTAAGTTTGCATTGCTCTGTGATTTTATGTGGCCTGCCACTTCCTGTCTGAGTTTCTCTTGTTCCCAATTGCTTCCACGTTGTTCTTATACCACTAACAGTTGACCATGGAATATTTCGTATTGAGGAAATTTCATGAATGGACTTATTGCACAGGTGGCACCCTATCACAATACCACGCTCCTGAGAGCGACCCAGTCTTTCACACATGTTTCTAGAAGCAGTCTGCATGCCTAGGTGCTTGATTTTATACAAATGTGGCCACAGAGGTGATTGTAACATGTGAATTCAATGATTCGGAAGGGTGTCCTAATACATTTGGCAATAAAGTATATATAAAAAAATTTAACACTTATACACCCATATTATTTGTTAAATTCTTAACAATTTAATCCCTCAATACACCATAAATCTGAAAATCTGTCTTTATTTTCAGGGCATCAGTGTGATCTTCAATGTAGCCTTGGCACTTCTGAAGGTAAGGTATCCCATGCAAGTATGAAAACACACACATACAGACAAACAAACACAAACACATACAAACGCAACTGACAACTATAGCTCCAAGTAGAAACAGAAATGCGCAAAAGAAAATCAAACCATGGAAAGATTTTATAGATGTGCACATGAGAGCAGGTGCAGATGTGTGTAGTGCCACCCCACTGTTCTGTGCCGAAAACAGTTCACAAACGTTTTGTTGTAGCAGAATTTGACCTCAAAAGTACTTCTTCTTATCTTAATCTTATGTTTAAACTGGTTTCTCACAAAGTGGTTATTTATCATATCTAGTCTGTTTTCACAATTCAGAAAATTGTCTCAATCCGTGAGGATCACTTGGTGTCCTGTTGCAAAAAAGGAAATAAATGTATGTCCAACAGGCTAGTCTAGCTTGTGTACCTAATGCCCTTTTGTGTTCCCATCCCTCTTTTCCTCAGACATCAAAGGACGATCTGATCCAAACAGACTTCGAGGGGGCGCTTAAATTCTTTCGTGTCCCAGTTCCGAAGAGGTACCGTTCGGAGGAAAATGCAAAGAAACTCATGGAGCTGGCCTGTAGCATGAAGGTGAGTTCAGAGTAAAAAAAAAAAAAGAATATTGAAAAGTCAATTCAGTTCACAATGAACACGGACTCTGCGTTCATTTCAAAATGTAAGTGCTTTATGTGGTAAAGTTAATGGTCTTCAAAATCTCCAGGAAACCTCAAATAGTGTTTATATGATATGAATATTAGAAACCCATGAAAACCAGTGTATTTTCTAATAATCAGATGATCTAGTTAAATATAATGGATCAAATGAATGGATAAAACCCACTGGAGTCCAGCAGCCAAGCACCACTAGGGGCCGCTTTTACACTTTAAATCAAGTTAAACAGACAATGTACACACAAGCACCTCTCTCTTTCTGTCTCTGCCTTTTAAAAACACACACACACTCACACCTGTGTCCTGACCTGTTTTGAACAGCCTGCCCTAGTTTAGAGGGCCTGACTTTGAAGGTAACTTTGGGCAGAGATATTTATTAGCACAAACTCTGTAAGCTTTTTTTGTTCTCAGTAAGTCCGGTGGCCACATAGAAGGACACACAATGAGCCACCCCAGCAGAGAAACATCCAGTGAGACTAAATCAGAGGCAAATGGACTTTCTGCGCCGTCTTGAAGATGTTTAAATACTAATTTTTGTGGCAACATAAATCATGATTTTGGGCCGTTGGGGTTCAAAACCACTATAAATAATATTTTTTTCTTTTATGTGCTGCTTTTGATATGTGTATATGCTTTATGTAATTGTTATGCGTAGCTATGTGTTAAGGGGTTCGTCGTACACATTTGAATAAAACACCTTCATGCAGTTACATAGAAGCATAATGACCCATTATGTACTGCGTACTGCTTTAAAAAGTTATTTCTAGTGCATTATTTGGCGAGGGAAAATTCCAAGAAGTCATTTGTTAAATTGACCTCAGGGAGTACTGCATTGTTGGACCTGGAAATTAAATCTGAGTCAAGGTAGGCTAATCTGAAGCTTGGATGTTGCTATAGGGGGATTAACTGACCAGATTACCGCTGCCCTCATTGACTGTTGATCCTGTCTTCTGATTGGAGAATAAATCTTTCTGGGTTGACAGGTGCTCCAGCGTTATTGCCCATTTTAGCTCAGATTTGCCAAATATCACTGTGCTTTTTTAAAAGGGATTTATATTTTGGATTATTACATTTGAGTGACCTACCTGGGGATGTATCCATGTACATTTTGATGCTTAGTAAAAAAAGCACAAAAGTTACATGGGTATTTACAGTGGTTAAGGTCAAATATCCTGGTCCTTGACCTTTTGAAAATTTGACTCCTTCTTCCCTTATGTCACCAACACCATGGGATATTTTGGGGCATTTTTTTAGACTTTTTATGGAAGGACACTGGAAAGAACAAGGAAATGAGGGAGAGAGATAGGGGTGAACTCGGGGTCGCTGCAGTAAGCACTTAGCCTTGTACATGGGGTGCGTGCTCTACCAGTTGAACTAACCGCTCCCCACCCATGGTAGAATTAGCACAAATCCGTAAAAGTAGAGTCCAGACGATTGTGATTTGTCTCAAGAAGAGCAACGAAAAATGTTGTTGTAAATTTAAGGAATCGGTAAATGGTGTCCATCCATCCATCCATCGATCGTCAACCGCTTATCCTGCGTACAGGGTCGCGGGGGGCTGGAGCCAATCCCAGCCTACATCGGGCAAAAGGCAGGGTACACCCTGGACAGGTCGCCAGTCCATCGCAGTTGGTAAATGGTGTATCTAGATTATAACGACTGTAATAGTAACAGTAATAGTAGTGCCTGCTTGAGCTCTAAAAGTCTCTGTGGTACTTCTTCACTTGGTAATTGTGGTCAAAGGTCATTAAATTTTAAATATTTGTTAAGTGAATAAAGGCAAACAGACATAAACTACAGTCAGGTCAAACACATTTATTCAGGAGACAATCTCGGGGTCAAACTAGGGTCATTTATGTTGCCTCGGTGTAGCTGTTACACCTACTTTCTCTTCGTGTCTGCCAACCTTTTGACTTCTAAAGCTAATATGTGCAAATTTCCCAGAGAATTAAAATGACAAGCATAAACTTTTTTATTGTTTACTTGTGTGTTTTAGTTTTCAGCCCTTCATGTTTACCTCAGAGCTCTCCATTGTCTCTCTAGTACATATGAGCATGAATGCATAGGTATTTGTATACAGTGAACAGCTCCATAACAGTTACAGCTGTCCCGCTGCTGTGTTTTGTAAGATCTTCAGACAGTTGCTTTTTGTTGTGCAGAAACGGCAGCAATGAAGAAAGCTTCTAATAGGTTTGTTTTTTTGTGTTTTGGTTCAGAAGAGCAGAGAATGATCACCTGAGAGAGAGCACAGGTGGTTTTACAATATGCCTCTTCTAGTTGCTAGTGTAGTTTACCTTTAATTAGCTAGTTTATAATTGATCCAAGACACGTAAGATGAGAAATATTTCATGTCTATCAATTATGGCTGTGCTTGAGAAAGCAGAGGCTGCTCTGTGTCCCTAATTGCTTCTCTAAGCATTAATTTCTAGAGACCCAGCTGTCTGTCAAGAAAGCAGGAAGAAAAGAATGAGAAAGGAGATGGATGAGGCAACTCCTGCCCTGAATGACCTCTTGTTCTCTTTCTCCCTGTTGTCAGTCTCCTATTTACAGAGCAGAACTCCAAGACCGCGCGCGCGCACACACACACACACACACACACACACACACACACTTAGGGCAGGACAACATATGGGCCATGGTGTCCCAGTTCTGCCAACATCATTAGGTGATGAGTGCTGGGATAATTTGGATCATCTGATATACTGTAGTATAATACTAAACCTGGGATTGTAACATGTACATGGAGGCACACACGCAAAAACAACGGCACATTGATATTGCAGCCTTAACTAGGTGCATTAAAATCCACAGAATGGACAAGCGAGTCTTAGTTTGTACACACTGTTGGTTCTCTTTCATGCTTAAAATCAGGCACATAGTGTTCGTTGTATGGTAGCTGTCTGTTAAAAAGCCCAATGTAAGGCAGCAGGTGGGCAGTGAAAGGCCTTTTGATGATTTTGCCTAAATATAGAATGTGTGTGTGTGCGAACTGCAACTGTAGGCATGTGTGACTGTAAGTGTGTGCTTAACAAATTACATTTTGTATAAATCTAAAAAATAACTTTTTAAAATTCAACAAAACAGTAAGATGGCATGATTTACCCTGGACTGCGTGGAGAGTGATATCCCAGCGATTCAGCCTGTAAACTCTGCATATGTTCCATTACATGTTATTCAAATGCTGTACTGGACTAAAGAACGCAACAGTCCAGCAAAGATAAATCCTATGTCCATGTTTGCGAAAGATTGGGAAGACTCTTCTCTGGCAGCCACCTTTATGACACAAGCCAAAGACTATTGTGCAAGTTTATATTTCTGTTTTTTTCATCATGTGTATAATTGCAATTATTAGTGTAATTACTCATGTGTGTGTGAAACAGTTCATGTGTATCAAACATTTGCTTTTCTGCTCACTGCCCATCAGATAAGCCAGAAAAAGCTGAAGAAATTTGAGAAGGAGTACCACACCATACGGGAGCAGCAGGAGCAACAGGAGGCCCCCATTGAGAGATATGAGGTAGACATATTTCCATGCGCACTATGAAGCATAAAATGACTTCTCTATTAACTTAACATAACCTTGATAAAGTTAGATGTACTTAAAAAAAAAACATGTTACTCTAACTTGGTTCTTTAAATCTGTGTTCTCGTTGCAGCGTGTCTTTAAAGAGCTGCGCCGAGTTGAAAGATAAATAAAGGCTATTATTTGTCTTCATTTACCACCATATTCTCCCAGAGTTTCCACTGAACAGAATAAATCTTTCTATTCATTTTTTTTTTTTTTTACTGTAGACCTTGACAGTCCTTGTTTGTGAAAGAAAAACGACATAGCACCAAAAAAGCCATTAATTGTACATGCCATAAGTCATCTCAAGGGTAGTGGGTTGGTTGTGTACAGCACAAGATCATAAACAGTGACTGAACTTCTGCTTTGTTTGCTTCTAACAAGCGAATACCATCTTAACATGTTTGTATTATTGCTATTTGAGAAGACTGCCATACAGTCAACCATTAAGCATCAAACGATCATAGTAATATGATCATTATAATACCACAACTGCAATTCTGCACCTAGGGGTGGATTTAAGACATTTCCAATGAGTCTGCTCCATGTATCCTATTTTTTAGCAAGCACATCAAACTTATTCTCACAGAATGTTTCCGTGAAAAGCATTATATGCAATAACAGACTTGTGCGGAAGTCACCATGCAAGGCAGTTACCAAACTTACCAAAAATGCCTCTTAAGTAAGAAAATGTTCCACCACTTTCAAAACCTGTGTTTGGAAGAATGGAAGATTTTGTAATATCTGTACTTTATCCTCTTAACTCATCTGCTTACTCTAGAAACTCCTGAGGTTGAAAGGGATGCTTACACATTAATTCACAACTCTTCATGATTAACTCCTTTTCCCTGCTCTGCTATCTCTTCACTTTCCTTCCTCTTTTGTGTTTTCTCACTTCTCTCTGTTCATAAACTCTTCTATTTTGCTGTCCCACTCACATTTTTTTTGTCTTTATCTGTCTCGCTCTGGTGTTCTGGCACTCTGGTGACACGTTGTGTCACTTCTCTTTCTTCTTCTCTCTCTGTCTCTCTCTATGCCCTCCTTCCAGCGGGAGAACCGTCGTTTGCAAGAGGCTAACATGCGTTTGGAGCAGGAGAATGACGACCTGGCACATGAACTTGTCAGCAGCAAGATAGCCCTGCGCAAAGACCTTGACAACGTAAGCCAAAGACAATTAATATATTTGTGTAATTTCATGGTCGTATGTGTATACAGATGTTTATGAAAATGTGTCATCACTTCTTTAAAGACACTTAACAGAAGGAAGTATGTGTGGCAATAATTGTGCAAGAACTGAAAAAACATGCGGGAGAGTGAAAATGCAAAACACATAAATTTTTTATTATATTTGCACAGAACCTTGATTTACACAGCATGGCATTAGTGTTTGTGTTTGGGAAGCAGGGAATGCACATTTGTGCAGATCATCATTTGACTTACCTTGCAAAGCAAGACGGTATAGAGAAAACTAAGAAGAGAACAGAACATGTCTAAGACTTTCAATTACCTCATCAACATTGGGTTATTTTGTCGTGTCTGTGTTTGTGTGTCAGGCTGAGGAGAAGGCAGACGCCCTGAATAAAGAGTTGCTGCTGACTAAACAGAAACTGGTGGACTCTGAGGATGAGAAGAGACGACTGGAGGAAGAGTCTGCACAGGTTAGAGCCAACACCAAGGCGCTCTTGTCTGGATTTAAACTGTGCGTGTGTGGAGGAAAAACTTCTCCTAGGCGCAGCTGATAAATAAAATCATTTATTTATTTTTTCTTTAAATCACATGTGGCACGCAGTAACAGTTAGTAGGAGAGAGGAAAAGCGTGAGCACTATTGCAACACAAATTCTAAGGTGATGAATTATTGTGAAAGGATGCTGCTTAAATCTCCTGTCCTGGGGTCAATAATGGGACTAGCAGGAAATATGCGGTAACATTAACATGACAGGCTTGGACTGAGCTGTCTTTCTTTTGGACAGAGCCAAGAGTCTGCAGGTTTTTATTCAGTTCAAACCAAACAGTGCCACAGCCAAATCTTACTGATGATGTCTCTTCCTGTGGATGGTGTATTAATTAGTTTAATCACCTGCTGTTGTTTTTTTCAGTGGGAATAAGAACCTGCAGACTCATGGCACGTTGGCTTGTCTTTAGCTAATTATAATATTTTTTACAAGCTATAATTTATGTATTTTTGAAGTAGCAGTAGTTAACTGAGGTAGTGAAGCTGTATATATACTTATGCGTTAAGGGGTTATGCCGTACCTATGCCTGTTACATGTGTAGGCCTCCGAGGCGAAGTGTCCGCTTCCAAAGAATTTACCTACACGTTGGGGAAGGACAGCCAGTAGTCTTTTCCTTTTTAAGGATCAAACATTGACCCTACACAGTCAAACCTCCCAGTGTCAAAGAATGTCAGTTCATCTTTGATGTTGATTTTCTTGAGTCCAGTGAATTGGAGGACAGACCTGCTGCCCCCTGTTCTCTTGTGTGTTCAGTGCTATTCTCCAAATGTCTCCTGTCTTCGTGAGTGTGTAGTTGTAGCTGTGAGTGATTTATGTGCTTGCTTAGAGGTTGCGTAGAAGGCATGACTTTGCCTTGAGCTTCCAATCTGCCAATACCTTCTTTACATGTCATGGCAATCACACGGTCTCTGGGGCCTCTGACTCTGCTTCTGTCCACAGTATATGCCCTGCAACAGCAACAGTATGAATGTGTGTGTTTTTGTTTCCACAGCTGAAGGAGATGTGCAGACGAGAGCTCGATAAGTCTGAATCAGAGATTAAGAAGAACGGCTCCATTATTGGAGAATATAAGCAGGTAAGTACTTTATAGCTGAAACATGTGCTTTATTTGTGCAAAAATCACTTGAAGACTTAAAGGAAGAAGTATAGATTCCTTCCTGTTTGCATATACAGCGCTATAATATCATGAAGTGTGTCTCTTTTAGAGAAGTGACCCCAGTTTCCTTTTAACGTTTTTTGAAGACTTTATTTGTGATTTTAGAGGTTTAGATCCAACATCATAACCCCGTCTGCTGCTGAACTCTCCCCCTTTTCGACAAGCCTAGACAACTCCCCAAGGCTCTGTGAGCCTGTGGTGATCAATACACCATCCAATACAGATAAAAAAAATCTAACTATACAATGACATCTTCGTATTCATTCCATAATATAAAAAAGTATGTTATCTGCTATCCCAATACCATTAACTGACAGCAAATCATTTTAGAGCATCAAAACGTTTTTATTTGTAGACCAAATAAAAGAGTGCTTCTCACAGAACAACACATTAAAAACAATAATTGAAAGCAAAGGGCAAACCATACAGGTGAATAAAAGATATTAAAATGGAGCTTAAAATTGAATCAAATGGATAGATGAAGAACTAAAGAATAGATAAAAAAATATATAACAATGTCTCAGCCAGCCATATGTCCTTATGCATGTCCTTCCAAAGTCTTAGGACCCTCATGTAACAAGCTCTGTCTCCCTGACTGCACACCGATCCATATGGAGGTAAACGGTTTGAAATATAGCAAGGAGCCAGGCCATTAAGAGCCTTAAAGGTAATCACTAAAATCTTTAAATCAATCCTAAAACCTACTGGGAGCCTCTCAGTTCTGGTTAAAAGCCTATGAGCTGAGGGGACAGCCGCTGTTGTTTTCCAGCAGCAGGACATTAACTGGACACTTACATTTTTTTAAAGAGTTTCAGAATTTATTCTAGATGCTTTAAAATGTAAAGTAGATGTAAGGAAAGACACTCACCGATCATAGAAGCATAGAACACAGAGGAGCGTAAAACTTTCAGTAATTCTGTGGGCCCACGTTTGAGTGTGACCTGTTAAAAAAGATTTAATGACATTTAATAGTTTGCTTGATTAACGACTCACCATGACCAAAAGGACTGGATAAAAATTCTTAAGCAAAAGCTGCCAGCAGTTGCCGGTCTCTGCATAGCGGCTGGTAATGACCTGAAGGTTTGTTGCTTTATTAGTTTAACATAATAAAAAAGTGATTTTTGTTTTGACAAAACCATTGAACGTCTCTTGTTCTGATCCTTTCATATGTTAAACTGTTTTTATTATTATTAAGATACTCCCTCACACTCTGCTCAAGCAGCATCACCAATCTACAGTGGTTGTTAATTTTGTTTGATGGAGTTGTCATATTTTTGTTCCTTAAAGGTAGTTTTGTCTGTTTTGGTGCAGTTTATGTGCCTCATCCTGAGCTCTGGATGTTTGAGGGAGTGAGCCTTTGAGCAACTCCTCTCCACTTACCTTTCCTTATTTGGCTTGTCTTTTCAGATCTAATCTCTGATCAAGCCATTACCGTGGCAAGACTAGCTATAAATATTTTAAAATAATATAAGAGCAATCTGTTTGTGAAGCAGAAACATCTAATTTTACGAACTGTCCCTAAGCTGAACCCAAAGCCTTTGATGACTGAGCCTGTAAGAATATTTTCAGTTCCTGTCTTTTTGAATTCCTCTTAAGGTGATTTTCATCCTCTCAGATCTCATCCTGTCACTTAATGCTTAAATATAAACCTACCCAGATCAAGTACTATTACCATCAGCACATTATGCAACAACCCAGCTCCTATCACTCCCTGTGGGGGAAGACAGAAATAGCATGAGGACTAATTTAGAAACAGACCTTAACTTCACCTGAGTCTAAAAATATTGGCAGCACATTGGAATTGACAGCAGATCTGAAAACGGAAGACTTAATAACAGAGGATTTGACGTTTGTTTTTCTTTGTATGTGTTACGAGTGAAAACAGCCTTTGGATTGCCAGCATGCAGCTGAGAACTGTGCTGAGCAGAGCTAAGTGTGAAAATGGGGCTTTGACAAAAATAGTTATTTTTGTGACAGGGAGGAAGGGGGTGATAGATGGAGAGAGGGAGAAAATGAACACAAGTCTGTGGGAGAGAAAGCAGAGGGAGGACAGCAGCATTCAATCCTCTGGGACTGACAAGTTGAGGAATGCCTCAAAATAGCCTTGGTTGTTTTCCAGCCCATATAACTCAAAGTATTCCTAAAATAGCATTTTTCTATTTCCCCGGCTTTGAATATGACGTTTCTTTTTGTGGGATTAGGGCCAAAAAAGCTTTGTGTGCTAATTGCCCCTCCAGCCCACAAGGATAGACAAACGTCTGTTAATGGTGAAACTAAAAACAGTGTTGAGTGGTGTATTGTAGGACCAGAGCCAGTGTAGATACAAGTACCCGGCTAACGTGCACTAGATGCATGTTAGCCAGGTACTTGCCAGGTACAGCAACAAGTGCCAGTGCTCGTGTCTCTGAGGCACTGTTAGCGTTATATTCATTCCTTACATTTCTTACCTTTTTAAAATATTTTGACCCTGGACACCAAATTATTCAGAACATTCCTTGATTGAGCATCGCATCCTAATTGTCTTCTTCTAATTCATTGTATATAAACAAAGAGAGCAGCCAAATACAGAATGTCCTGATGGGGAGTATGGTCTATGTGAGCAGAAAAATGTAATCTTATAAATTAATATTAAGTGTGGTAATGCATTTGAAAGGTTACATTTAAAATGTGCAAGGATATGTTTGTACGTGACCAGAGCATAACAATCAGATGATGTGCTTGTGCTTACATGTGCTTACAATATGCCCACTAAGTTAAGTATTCCCTAAAGCAGCAGTAGAGAATTCTTTTAAAAATTACTTTTTGCCATATTTGCTGAAACTGTCAGTAGAACATGAGACAGATAATCTGTGGGGGGGAAAATCAGGTTCCACTGGCTCCTGTTACTGCTCCTAATGCCATTTATAAGAATCTATCTCTCCCTGAACAAAACAACCAATCAGAGCCAGGAGAATTGGCATTATGCCGCTGCCTGCCCGCTGAGATTTGCATGCACCTCCATGTAGCCTACTGCTTAAAAATGCTATTATAATAATATTCTTTGTGGGGTTCATCAATGGTGATAAATAATTTAAAGTATGTACTTTATGATCGTTTAGAGTTGTCAATATTTTATTACACTTAGTAGAAGCAGCATTCCTTGACATTCAGGAAAAATGTACGGTAATAACCGCATTTGTTCAATGTGCACAGCAAAGTGTCTGTGAAGGACCTTAACAGGTGGATGCATAATTTGGCAGAACAAGCTACCTGCTGAGATTTGCATGCACCTTGTTTCTCAGCATAAATGAGCGTTACCTCCCGCAAGGTGCATGCAATTCTAAGCGGGCATGCAGAATTTGGCATAAAACTGGCTCCTTCTGCTGCCGTAGGAACTTGTGGGTGTGGCGGGCGGGGCTCGCAGAGTGATACGAGGAGCAGAGAGAGGCGTGGAAGGTTTTGCATTGTATGTTAAATTGTTGCCGGCTGCTTTAAGCATGCTGCATATTGTATACATGGATTATTGACAACAAAACCAAAATTGCCCAGCAGTAAAGTTACAGCAGGACCAGATGATTTATTGAGTGAAAACATTTAAAATAAATAAGATTAAGATTGTTTGTGGAACAAAATAGAATATGAAAAAGATGAAAACAACAAATGTCCTGTGGGTCTTGAGCCTGAACAGAAACACACAGAAAAACTATTATGTGACACAATAGCATAAGACAAGCATGACACAGCCTGCTTACAGATGGCTGTTGACTGAAATTCCAGCAGAACACACTGTCCTGTCCACCACGTCCTTCCCAACTCTTTAAAATTATGGAACTGACTGGAGACGGAGTGGTCCCTACGCACAAAGCCACCAGCTCAAGTTAAAGATGTACAGTAAGCCGTGGGTTAGCACTAGTTAAAAGGAAGCAGGAAGAGTAAAAGAGCAAGGGGCAGCTGCGAGATCAAGACAGATAAATTATCAGTACTGATGAAGGAAAGGTAGATAAAAGAGAGGATAACGGGAGAAAAAGATTAAAGACATGTAAGAAGAGAAAGATGCATATTTGCTCGGCTAAAGATACACAGATGTATGGATTGGTCTGAAGCAGCAGGAGGAGGAAGAGATATATGCATGAGAGCAGGAACAGATAGATAGTCTGAGTACAGAGAGGTGGGTTGACCCAGTGTTCCCATCAGGATGACTCACGTCACATCGATCTCTTAGTTTGCCGGCAAGCTACAGAACAAGTGTGTGTGTGTGTGGGTGTGTATGTGTATGTGTGTGTGTGTGTGTGTGTGCGTGCTTGCTTGAACGTCTGTTAGCATGTTTGTAGCTATGGGTTACAGGTGGAGAAGGTGGAGAAGGAGGAAAAGGGGGAACAAAAAGAGTTTGTGTAATGTGTAAGGATGCACTATGCATACTCGTGTGTATGTCTGGTGATCCCCACTGGGAAAACAGGACCTTATGACACCACTAATGGACACACTAGTTAAAAGGAAGCAGGAAGAGTAAAAGAGCAAGGGGCAGCTGCGAGATCAAGACAGATAAATTATCAGTACTGATGAAGGAAAGGTAGATAAAAGAGAGGATAACGGGAGAAAAAGATTAAAGACATGTAAGAAGAGAAAGATGCATATTTGCTCGGCTAAAGATACACAGATGTATGGATTGGTCTGAAGCAGCAGGAGGAGGAAGAGATATATGCATGAGAGCAGGAACAGATAGATAGTCTGAGTACAGAGAGGTGGGTTGACCCAGTGTTCCCATCAGGATGACTCACGTCACATCGATCTCTTAGTTTGCCGGCAAGCTACAGAACAAGTGTGTGTGTGTGTGGGTGTGTATGTGTATGTGTGTGTGTGTGTGTGTGCGTGCTTGCTTGAACGTCTGTTAGCATGTTTGTAGCTATGGGTTACAGGTGGAGAAGGTGGAGAAGGAGGAAAAGGGGGAACAAAAAGAGTTTGTGTAATGTGTAAGGATGCACTATGCATACTCGTGTGTATGTCTGGTGATCCCCACTGGGAAAACAGGACCTTATGACACCACTAATGGACTTAAAGTAAGTGTAAGAGGATAAAGTCTGCCACAGAGACTGATTTACTGAGAGCCACAAACAAGGAGAAACAAGGTTGTGAACAGTGGTATGGAGAGGACCTAATTGCATGGGTAGAGTTTTTGTTTAAATTTGTTGACGTTACACATGTGTGTTTATCCCATTATATCCTGGTTCTACTGGGGTGGAAGGAAATGGAGGATGGTTTTGAGTTTTTTTTGACTGATGTTTTCATGGAATAGAAAACCTGCAACCTTAGTAGAACCAATGTTCAAAACCAACTTCCTGACTTCTGACTTCTTCATGGGATAACACAAGTTCATTCAAACGCATTGAAGACAGTGGTCTGGCCTAGTTCCAGCAAGACAATAAAGTATAAACAAGCTACTGCATCTGCTTTGTGTTGTTTTTGTTTTTAGCTTACACAGTGGCAGCTCTTTACACACAAAAGCTGCACAGTACTGCCAACTGAGTGTCACAATAGATGTCTCAGTAGAAATTAATTGGACTTTGGGTGAATTGTCAATGGCTGTCTAAAAGCACCGTAACAGAACAAACTTTCTGAACAACTGTTCTCTGTCTCTGGTTCATGTAGATCTGCTCCCAGCTGAGTGAACGACTGGAGAAACAACAGACAGCCAACCGAGGAGAACTGGAGAAAATCCGGGTGAATTTTACACACAAAAACACGCCCACATACCTCAAAACACCGCTGTGTGCACTCAAACACATTCTGCAGATTTACAGCTATGAGTATAAGTGGTGCAGAGATGTGCTGTGTGAATGTATATGTGTTTCTTTTACACAGGTAATAGTTGAAGGATGAATGATGTGAACTACAGCTCAAATGATTGTCGGTGACTGACGCATTACCCCTGGCTGTTGTGTTGCTTTTGCGCTTGCAGGTTGATTATTTAAACCCACAGTCATGTTAGACCATGATGATGCTGGGTAGCAATGCTGTCATAAATGAGGTCGTCTAGAACTTAGTTTAAAAATAATTTGTTACACTTTTTTCTCCTTTACCCAACATGATAATAAACAAGGTCACAAGCAACAAGTTACACATAGACACCACACATGTGCGAGCTGTAGCAGTTCAGCCGACTGTAGCGCATGTAGAGGTAGGCAGTGTGTCCTGGGCCAGAAATGTATATAAGTATGATCTCTATAATAATTGGTCGGGTTTATAGGACATGGTCACGAAACAGTATTAGAGGGGCACAATCCAGTTGTCTTTAATCTCTCACTCACTGAGTTTGCAGGTATGTTTGGACCTATGTTGCCATCGCATTGTCTTGACTGGCACTGAAATGGAAGCTTTTGGGGAAGGATGAAGAGTTAGGCCAAGGAGCCAGGGCCAGACATTTCACTTCCAGCACTTGCATGCTTGGCTCGTGAACTGTTTGGGTAGACTGTAGCTGGGAGAAAGGCCATTTTGGCAGAGAGCTCGTGAGGACTGCCCAAGGACTCACAGAAGGACAGACAAAAGGTTTATTGCACCTAGCACGTGTCCTGTAAAGGGTGTAGCAGCTCCTCTGTGTGTCTGCAAGTCTGTCATCTTGTTTGTTCTTGTTCTTCTTTTTATTATTCACTAATAATGGTGCAGCAAAGGCAATAAAACTGTCAGAAAATCGCAATTATAGCTGATGTAGGGCAACAGTGATGTGCAATGAGTAAAATGTAACTAAGTTACAATAGTGTTAATTGAAAAGAAATGTTTAAATAATATACTGAGATACTTATTCAGTAACTCTGTATTGAAAGTGACGACAGAAACAATTTCTGCTTGGGCACTCTGCTGCTTCATTAATGGTCTCATCCACTTCTGCAGTGATAAGCCATTATGTATAATTACTACTCAGCTTTAAACCAAGTTGACAGTATAATCCAAATTAAATGTAATATTCACTTTTGCGGGAACATTTCTTGCCCCCACACAACCTTGACTATGAACTGAGGGGCTGTGGACAACGCTGCTTGTTACTGCTCTAGTCTGTCTATAGTCTATCTAAAGGAGCCACCCTAGTAAACAGGACCCAGGTGATTCTTCCCAACCTGCGTTGCCATTAGGAAGTTTGGTAGCCATGAGCAAGTGAAGTAGGAACCCCCAACTATCTTTTCTGCATATGTCTCTGTGCTGCAGAAGCATCATTGTTGTTAGTCTGAGTATTTTTCCATCTTCAAACACCTCCAGTGTAGCTTAGCTCGTCTGGCACAGAAAGATAGGTACTTCAATGAATTAACACTAGAAAACTGAGAAAGTAAAAGTACCTGAATAGGGTGTTGCCTAGCTGCACAGTTAGCATGGCTCAGTTCGCAGTGATTTTCTCATGCTGCTTGCACAGATGTTCTATTCCCAATAATAGCTCATCACATACAAGGGCACCCAAAAAGAGCTCTTTGACTAAAGTGCTGGGTGAAGTGCGGCCCTGACACAAAAAGGAAAGTATAGTTGGCTTGTATGGCTACTCCACTAATGAGCTGCCATGCTTCAGTAACGACAGAGAACAGTCTCTCAGTAAAAATATCTCTACTGCAAAAAGATAGATTGGGCGCATCACAGAATGTCATGGTTGAAGATTTGTATTTAGAGATTAGCTGTTTGGTTTTTGTGTGTGCACACAACAACAGTTGGCGTTTCTGCTGGTCCATTTTATTTTTGGCCACACTGACAATTGTCTTTAAAAGGTGCAAAAATAGCATCAACCAAAAGATATCAAGGAGTCCGCACACTCTTTCCTTTCTCTCACACAGATCTTTGTCAGAGCTCTGATGCTTCGACTTCTTTTCATGGACTTTCTAGGTTGAAAGAGGCTTTAATTTTATTTTCTCACTCACACATCGCATTTCTACGGAAATGAGACGGGAGAAGAAAACAAACAAACTAATCTGTGTTCTCGTATTACTAATTTGTGCTCTCGATTTAATAATTTGTGCTCTCGATTTAATAATTTGTGCTCTCGATTTAATAATTTATGCTCTCAAATAAGTAATTTGTGCTCTTAGTTTAATAATTTGTGTACTTGGTTTAATAATTCGTGCTCCCGAATTTTTAATTTGTGCTCTAATTTAATATAATTCTCATCTTGAGACAGCCACTTTCAAGCTCTACCTTTCTCGCCACTCAAACATGAAAAATACACAGTAGCTGCTCTCAAAATTACAACACACCTTCATGCATGTTGAGGTTCATTACTTTCACATTCTATGTTCTCATGTCAGTGAATAATTGGTTTATCATTAATTAATAACTGCAGCGACCACACAGCACTAGTAATTGTATTAATTATATATAGGGACAGTACGGTGCTGCATCTTATATATATATATATATATATATTTTTTTTTTTTTTAAAAGCAAGACCCTCATTAATAATAATTAGCAATATTTCTTTAGACCCTCCCCTTGACTTGGAAAAAAATGTTAATATCCCAACATAATATATTTACAATGTAGCAAACGTAACAATTTCTCTTGACCAATTCTGTCGCTGTGATAGGAGAATTAATATCTAAATAATTAATGAAGTTGCTGGTGCCACATGTGTTAATTAATACATATACATGTAAATAAATTGATATTTCAGTGACATGTGAACAGAATAGATAGGATTTATTACTCTAACGCAGCACTTTCTCAGGAAAGTTGTAGAGCAAAGTGAAAGAGGTTGAACTCAACAAACATGAATGGTGGAGTCATTTATGAGAGGTCTGTGTGTGCGGCTCCTCTAAATAAGGCCACACAAATTGTGGCCTTTGTCTCAGAGAAGTAATGTGGTGAAACAATTTAAAGGTTCAGATGTTGTCCTGTTGAGGCCACAGCTACTGTATAGTTTTCATTTAGAAGTGTCTTTGTGTGGGTGACAAGAGAGCAAGCGACGGAGCTTGAAAGCAGCTGTCTTGTGGCAAAAACAATATCAAATCAAGAAACACAAAATATTAAATCCAAAGCATGAATTAAACTGAAAGATCTGTACATTTCTTTCTATCTGTAAAGTCCATTATTTCCATCAAACTCTGACTAAACAAGAGCTTGGTTTCAAGTGTATCAGTTTTTGTCCCACAATTTATCTAACCTGGAATCCTTCTTTCATTTTGCCTCAAGCTTAAAGGTATACGAGCGACTGGTGTAAGATCTCAGTTAGTAGCTTGTTTTCTCTTGTGCCTCCTCTAGTCCAAAGTGGAAGGCTGTGAGAAGTGCAGTAGTCTTTTCAACAAAGAGGGTCGTGTGCGGGCTGTGACCACAGCGCCTGCTGGGGGGTCTGAGGAGACCGATGAGGAGAAGGAGGGTTTGAAGAACCAGCTGAGAGAGATGGAGCTGGAACTAGCCCAGACCAAACTGCAGCTGGTGGAGGCGGAGTGCAAAATCCAGGTACATTAACACATAGTCCAAATCAAACCACAAAGTGTGAAAGCTTAAGGGATGTGGATGTCCAGTCAGTGTTGATGGTAAATGTAGTAGTAAATGTAGTGAAGCAATAAATTCCTCAGTGCATGCTATATCGACTGAGAAAGCTGAGTTCTCTTGCTTGGTGAACCATTCAGGCAGTGCTTACAGGTACTGGGACGCATTGTGCACAAGCTTCTGACGCCCATGCCCATCCAGCGGGCCTCTACAGCTCTGAGCAAGCTAGCTGCTGGGTGCTAGTTACTCAGCGTTGTCGAGCAAATGAATTCCTGCATTTTACCATTTCTTTTTCGCTAATAGCTATGTCATTACATGCAGCAACACACACACACACACACACACACACACACACATACCGGCAGAATGGGCTTCTGTATGACAATAAAGCTAACGATAGCTGAGCTAACGCTGCATAGAGTTATATAGAGTTCCACAATAAGCAACATGAAAAAAATAATTTCCAGCATCCAGCCTACTGCTCTTGTTAATTAGTTGCCTTCAAATGAGGCTTAAGGTTCACACAGTTTCTCTTGACTGTCCCTCAAGAGAATAAGTCCATGATCAACCCAGCCTGCTGGCCTATAACGTTAGCGATTACTTTGTTGGCCAAAACATAGCGTTAGGTGACCCTGGAATTCCAGAGGTGGAATCTGGAAATCCGGAAATCCAAGCCGAAGTGCCGCCAACCACGTCAAATGACTTTCTCTGTCAATATAGCATGAGGAATTGATTGCTTCAATAGACTGCACTTAACATCAATACTTAATGGACATCTACATAAAAAGTGCTAAATTTTTCCTTTAAGATAAACATACACGACTGTTGCCACGTTGTTTTACTCTGATGCTGGAAGAGCTTGTGAGTCATGACTGATCTGTTGAGTTGTACTAGAACAATATAACTTGAATCATACTACTTCTGCTCCTGTCACGACCCGTGCAGCCAATGTAAAAGCCATTAAACAAACAGACCTTGAGTCGCAGAGAGTCTGCTGCACTGCCCTTTGTTGCGGTGACACATTCAACTTTTTTCTGCTTTAAGGACGTATCCAAGGCTTTATAAAAGGGGTCTGAAATTCTGGTATGTGAATTTAGAATGGATCATTTCTAGTCGTGTAGGTGGGGGATGCTTTGGGGCATCCGCTTTTTAATATCTCGGCTACCTGCTTTTATGTTACAGTGTGTGTCTCCTGCACAGCAGTTAAGGGGGAGGTTATATTTCTACTCCGATGACTTTATCAACCGTTGACGAGCACCACAAGAAGGTGCTAGGGCAGCAGAGGCTCCACTAATCAGAGCACAAAATTTGCTATTAACAAGAAATGGTTAATGAACGTGGGAGCATTATTGGTGAGCTCTACTTAGTGACACTGCTGTGATTAAAAGTGTCTGAAGCAGCATTAAGGTATGATCGAATTAGAAAAGAGGCAGTTGAAGGATTTCAGACATAATGTATATGTGAGCACAGTTGCTATAACTAACGGTGAGTTTGGAAATATTTGAGATTTAGAAAAATCAGAGTTTTAGTTTCTTAGAAAGAGGCTAGAGTGTGGTGAGTCTGAAGACAAACGGGCCCAGACCAGAAGACAGGTACATAAAAACTATTTGTGATCAAAGTTCAATGTGATAGTTCTTCTCTTTCCTCTTTAAATCAGGACCTGGAGCACCACCTGGGTCTGGCCCTCAACGAGGTACAGGCTGCCAAGAAGACCTGGTTCAACCGAACGCTCAGTTCCATCAAGACCGTTACTGGGACCCAGGGCAAGGAGACCACTTAACCTGATAACCCCATCACCCAGTTTTACCCAGACCATGTCTGGAGTGCAGTGCAACTCACCACGCTGAAACCTCTGGACGCCTAACTTAACCCACCAGGCCATAATTTTAACACGAACATTGACTGTTAAATCCCAGGATGACCATTACTACCTACTGTGTTACTTCTTGTTCTTATTATCAAAAATGTCCTCGTATTTCCCCCTTCCCTCCTCCCTGATCCAATCGCCACCATCCACTTCTCCCCCAGTCCAACCCAAATGACTACAGCCAACTGTGCTGATGAGAAGGGGTTGAAAACCACAAGATGAAGTACAACAGTACCACTTTCCCCAGAGAAACAATGTGCTTCCACTGGTCACAGAAAGAAAAGCCTATAAAAAGAGAAATGCTTCATTTATTTCTGTCTTTGTACTGCTGATATTAAAGACCCGCAGAAGGAAGGTAGGACATCTGAACATTAACTGTCCGGACGGGATAGAGAAGAAAACACTCCGTCCTTCCTCACTGTTCTGCGTGCTCCCCTCTAAACTACTGGCACAAACCAACCAGTCCCTGTAAAATGTTTGTTTTAGGTACGAGAGCTAATAGACGCCTTTTCAAAACTGAGCTTTTTCTAATTTACGTTGAACAATATCTTTCTTTTTCTATGTATGTACATGAATGTGCTTATGTAAAGAGGATATGTGTGTGTGTGAGAGAGAGAGAGTGTGCATGTTTTTTTTGTTTTGCATTGAATGTGAGGTGTGTGTGAAAAATAAGTTTTTGAATGCATAATTGACTGAAAATGTTATATCCATGTATAAAAGAAAGAAGGAGACAGTGTGTGGAAGTCCATGGGAAAGAAAAAGCACTAAGGTTATGAGTGTGTGCATGTAAGGAAATAGTTCCTGATTGTCTAGTTTCCTTTAATGTGTACAACAAATGTGTATGAGTGATGCTAAAGAAAAGTTTTGCTGACAAAGCCTTTTATCTGAAGGTCGATAAAGATGAAACTAATGGATATGAATATATAATTTACAGTAAGAACAGAAGCATAATAGCTGTTGTGATGGCTGTGACCAACAGCAGCATTACTCCTATCAAGTTGCAGACATTAAACATGCTTGAGGTTTGTTTGGTTTGGATGTCCCAGCACAAAGAAACAAAGAAAGCTCCAAACCATGCAAACCTCTGCATGTATTATACAGTATGTTTATGTATGTTAGAACACTGTTTAACCCAGAGTGTTGCAATGCTTGTTACAAAGTCAAAATGGAAAACACACACAGAACATTCACCTTCTTCCTTCCCTGGCGCTAGATGTGATCTTTGACCTTTGACCTTGACTGCCAGGGTCATGTTTCATACTAAGTTGAGCAGGCCTTTTCGCAGTTCATTCAGACCTTTGGGATCTCTTTTAGCACTATAAACACTGAATTACACTGTTAATTTTATATACAGTCGGAGGGAAACGGAAGCAATGCAGTCAGCAGCAAAAAAAAAACATGCCTTGTCAGCAAGAGAGGTCAGACGACAATGGCCAGAAATGTTTTTTAAAATGAACAGGAAGGACAGGGATAAGTGCAACATAGTGTCCCAGCAGAGTGCAGAAGGGCATAACTTGTTTAATCTTGGCTTGACTTTAATTTGCGCTGTTGATGGTAGTGTCAGAGTTGACATTAAAAAAAGCTTCTATCCCGTGTTGAGTCAAAGGTAGAGTATTGCAGTGTAATGGTGAGTGTTTTCTTGGCTTAGGATAGGGTCTGTTAATATCACTGGAATGCCACGGTGTACAGGGCATTGTTACACTCCAGGTGTGTCGCTTCATGGCTGTGTGACAGAGCGCTCATCATCTCAAGGCGGACCGGTAACATGACAGAGACTTGTGTTTATTCTGGCTGCCTGCACTCGACTCAATAGAGCACCTATGGGGACGAGGTGGAACAGGATAACCACAGCACAAGCACATCGCAGCTTCCAAAAAAAAATAAAAAACCCATGCAGGAATTGATCGACTTTATCGAACCAGCTTGGAGCACCTTGATGAATTCATGCCTCTAAGAATACAATGTGCCAGGGGTGGGGAAGCAGATGTTAAAAATACTGAAGTGGCCACAGTGTATACACATACACGGTTGTGAATGTAGCAGCAGAAAAGTCACACAAAGACACTTGTAAACTTCTGGAAGTGTAACTGTGCACCTAAGTGTGGATCAATGTCACAGTAGTTCAAAACAATGTCATCAGAGGTCAAACTGGTCTCTAAATCAGTCCAGAGGGGAAGGGGGGGGGGGGGGGGGGGTGTTGAAAAGTGCTCGCGTGTGTGTGTGTGTGTGTGTGTTTGTTTTCATATTTATCTGACTAAAAAAGGGCACTCAACAATATCCCAAGACTATTCCAATTTTACTAATCACATTAGACTGGAGCAAAAAAATAAAAATAAAACAGAACCGTTACTGTAAATAACGTTTAACTTGAAGGTTGACTCTGATTGGCCGGAATCTGATGATGTCAGAGGGAAAGTCCAGATGAGGTCGAAAGAAAACAAAGGGCCATACCTCTGAAGGCTTTGGGTTGAAAATAACAAACATTCAAAAATTGATATTGAGTTTTTGTTTATGATTTTCTACTCTGTAACTATAACTAATGTTGCCTACTTGTACCTACCTGCTGCCGTGCTACAGTTTAATCCACAACGATGTTTTCTGTTTTTAATGTTTATTTTGCGCCGAGCTTCTCAGTCAGACTGCTGTTTGTTTAATTAAATGCCAAAACGTAGCTTTATCATCCAACAACAAAAACATTATCAACGTGTGGAAATTGTAGTAGTGTAGGATGCATTGTGTATACTTCATGAATTTCAATATAAAGAAATCAACACAACAAACTATGTCTGCCTCTTTCTTTCGTGTGTGTTTGTCTGCAATAAAGGTTGCTGCTTTTCTCTTTTTGACATTGTAAATTGAATATGTTTGGGTTTTGGACTGCTGGTCAGACAAAATAAAACATTTAAAGACATCACTTTGGGCTCTGATTGAACTTCAAACACAAGTTAATTAATAAGGGTCTGGAGAAAGAGGGTAGCCTCACATCACTACACTTGAAAGATCATTTGAGAGTGTCAGACATATGGAAGCAAGATGTGGGAGAGGTTATTGGATGTGAGGCGTCTCAGTTTCTATAGATCATTTAAACTGTCAGCGTCTGAATGTCTATAGATCTGCTCTGAGCTGAAATAACTAAACAGTAAAGCGGCCCTGAGAAATCCAATGTTATTAGACTATGACTCTGAGCACGAACTAACAGCAAGATCCAAGTTATAGGAGTCTAAATATTAAATTTTGCTGTGAGGATTTAAACACAAAAACACTTTGTGTCTTTTGGTGCTAAGTCATAATCTCCATCTACATCCAGCAATAAACACATCAGATGTCTCATCAAAAATAAGACAATTCTAATGTACCTTAGCTGGAAATAAAAACTATCGTCTGCTTTCCCACGTCAACACCTTCCCTCTATAACAAGAAGGGGAGCACTGAATGTTTCTTCACCCACCTCAAGATGTCACCTGAAATATTAAAAACTATAAAACTTATCTGTCTCCTGAGTTTAAACCCAGCTTCTATTAAAAAAAAAAATCTCTAAAGCCAAACATACTGTTTTCTCTCCGTTTCCTCGCCAACATTTCGTTTTGCAGCTAAAAAAGAAGGGAAATATAAAAGAGGCTGTTATAATGAGACTTCTCTAACTCACCTCTTGGGAACACTTCTCTGGGCTTCCCGAGAGAGTTTTGAACATGAAAATGAACCCGTTTTCTTCTACCTAATTATGTCTCGTGAAAAACCTCTATCTGTCATCCACTTGAACAAGCCTTTTTCCTCGAGCTGGATGGAAATCTCCTCATCACTTTAACTTATATTGGCTCCAGTTCAAACTCTTATTTCCTTACTCAGAGAACATCCCCTTATAACATATGGCTTCACTGTTATCTGTGTCAGGGGATGAGCTATTTTCTGCCTAGGCCACTGGTGTATAAAATGTACAGTGTGCACTGATTGTGCTGGAGGTCTCACATGTATCATTTGGAGTGTTTATAACTAATAGCGTGGGCCCATAAAATTATCGCCTTTAGTGATGACGGCCGTTGGGATCTTGGCTCTGCGTCTGCCACTGCGGCTGCAGATTGCAAAGCAGCGGGCATGACGAGTCGGAAACCCGGTACCTGCAGCGGCTGGAGGTAACGAGCGTCAGCATTATGCAATCAATTTGACACCATCCCCCCTCCTTTTTTCTGTCCTGCGTTACAGAGCTATAAATACAACCAGCAAGGCAGCAACAGAGTAAATTGGAAAGGTGGAATGCTGATGGGACGGGCGTCTTCGGTTGCTGCTCGGCTCAGTCGTTAGTGATTTGTGAGTCAGGGATGAAACTCTTGTGTTATAGGGGCGGCGTGGAGCTATTTGGAACCTCGAGCCTCACAACAACCTCCTGAACTCCTGTCACCTGATCTCCTGACTGCAGACACACACGCACACACACACTCACACACACACTGGAACTCTACTTGGGCTAAGTTTAACATCAGCTGTGAAAGGCTAACTAAGCACATAAAGTAGGTGTACGTTTGATTTACATTTTAAAGGGTAAGTTCACAATTTTTCAAGTCTGTCTTAAAACAATATTCACATGCCCTTATGTAGCAGGAAACAGCTTCTGGTTGCTGTAAGTGTCCCTACTTTCCATAATAAAGAGATTTCTTCCAAATACAGTTCTAGTCTAAGAGATGGGTACAAAATCCAGTCCTAGCTCTTTGTAAAAATGACTTCGACAAATCAGGTGGATGTCTTCCAAAGTTAAATTTCCCACTTCGCAGATAGGTGTGGGCGACATGGCCAAAATCTTTTATATCATAGTAATGGTTAATGTCATGATACAGTCATTTTTCTGTAAATTCAATTAAGAAATGGTTTTTAAAAACCCTACCTCATCACATTTGATGATTTTCTTCTTTTATTTGGAACTTCCATACAAACAAAAACAACTCCTCCTCCTCTTCCATGTTTTCTTGTCACTCTTCTTCGGCGGTTGGCAAATCAGCTTAGAGGTGCATTACCGCCACCAACTGACACTCTTGCGTCCAGAGATCACACAAGAATCCAGCCCTGATTTGCCACGCACCGTGCCTTGAACATGTAGCAGAGACACTAAGGGATAGCTCCCCTGGTGGCAACGGTATTGCTAAATCTGTAGCAGTGGACACAATTCTCCCGTCGCTTGACACCATCATTAACCCTTATTCGCAGACAGTGTTTTCTTGCTGAGTTGAAGTGAAGGAATAGTAAATGAACCAGTATGGAAAGTGGGGACAATTACAGTGACCCAAGGAACATTAAATCCAAGGCAGTTGCACTTGATTGAAAGTACTTTAAGACGTTTCGCCTCTCATCCAGGAGGCTTCTTCAGTTCTAACTGACTCGAAGTCCCTGGTGTTTAACCCCAGTGGGGTCGTTATCATGGTGATGGATACCACTGGCTCGTTAGTGCTCCTAGCTGTCCTAACAACACTTGTTGTGGGCATTGGAGACACCTGAAGATGAAAGACCGTTGCTGTCATCTCACATGAGGCCAGACATGAGTGTTTGTTCACTCAGCAGGGATGATTACAGTGATCAAAAATGTTTTCAATGCACATGTGGGAGTATTGCTTTAAGATAGACATGAAAAAATGTAAACCTATGTAACCTATTGATTAATTTACCAGTTTATTTTCTCGATTAATTGATAAATCATTTGGTCTGTGTTTGTCAGAAAATAGTGGAAAATGCCAATCAAGTTCATCTTCAAATGTAATTTTTTCTCTGACCAAAAGCCCAAAACCCAATGACAGAATTTTCTATCACAGAGGAGTGAGAAAACCAGAAAAGATTCACATTTGAGGACCTGGAAAAACAAAATGTTTGCCATTTATGCAAATGGAAATTATGAAATGTTAAACTGACTAACCGGAAAGACTGAACCACTTGTTCCACCACAGTTTCTCTTTTCTCTTTTTCTCTTTTGCTCACACAGAATCACTTACCTTTCCTTTTGCCGTCTTAACTCACTTCTGGAGGACCGTGTGCAAATTTTGGGATGTTTAAAACGGCCCTTTGAGGTGAAATCGTGAGCGTTGAATCTTGTTAGTCTCGTTGCTGTTATCTCATTTGTTCAGGAGAGGAGTGTGAACAAAGTAGAGCCTCCACCTGTTCAGCTCTGTTGTTTTGGGTGTTTTTTTCTCCTCTTTTTAATCATGGACGGAATACTTATTTTAGCACTCATAATAAACTTCATATTTTGATACACACAACAGTTTTATACTGTACAAATTATTCCACCTGGCTGCCTTGGTTTAATACCAATTTCCACTAAACCTCATTTCAAATCAGTGCTGTTGTGTTTAAGGTCATAGACATGTCAAAAGCAGAGTGGACGGAGGGTGCAGTAATCTGATCCAGATGGGATCAGACAGTGAAAGCAGGTGTATAATCTGGGTGCAGAGAAGTGTTACAGTCAGAGTTTGTACAGATAAAAATCAGTTATCCAGACTTCAAACACTAGCTCGCCTGGTAAAAGATTAATTAGTGTGGATTTAAATGTTTTGTAGTAAAGAGAAGAAGGTAGAGCAACCAGGGCTATGTCAAACTACGCAGTGTGTAGAGGAGCAAGACTTAATTTCCCCAAAACTGACTTTCATGATTAATTAGAGCCAACTAAGTTCTTCCATTCAGCACAATTGAGGTTCTTAAAATGTGCCCGGTGGAGTTTTCTTGTAAACAAACAAAAACTATGTTCACAGTCAGGGTTCCTTGCCAAAACAACAAAATGTTTAGTGTTACTTTTGAAAAAATAAAGAAATTTAATAAACAATACCACGAAAAAAGCTGACAACCTAACTGTCACCCTGAAAGGAGTGCCCCACAGACAACCTATGCTTTTTCATATCAAACACTCATCTCCCGCAGGCTTGACAGCTTTAGAGCAGCGTTGTAGACAAACTAACAAACAGTAGTCAGCTTTATCCACTGCTGCTAGCAGCATTGCAGTCTAATGTGGAAAAAGTACCAAAATGTCTATAGAAGCAACCACAAACATTACTTCAGGTAAGCACACTTCTCTGCTGTATGTTCATTATGCTCCAAACACTGACATATTCGCCCAAATAAACTAAAATTATGACACTGTTTTGGTAGAGCATATGTGTATTGGTTTGTATTATATTTTAGTATTGTTGTTACCTATAAACAGGCGCTGATGTCCTGTGTCAGAAGGGAAGGAATGAGCCCTGTCAAATCAATATGATTTGTGAGCATATCACAGCTTCCTGTTACAAGCTGAAATATAATATCTGTCACCCTAAGACGTTGTCAGCAATCCAAGGTCATTTATTACCCTTACAGTGTATAAATCTGGACCATGCAAACAGATGCCACTGGTATACTGTGTCTTATTGGTTTTCTAGATTAGTGTGTGCATAACTTTGAGATCAGAGAATATTGTGACAGCGAGAAGAGGCACACAGCCATGTTTTATCATCAAACTGAGATCTGATATTTTTGTTAAACAGCCTCCGTTCATTTCAAATGAAGGGCAAATCTCTGTGGATAAAATGATGATGATTTATCCTCTGCTAGCCTCTTCTATGCACTGAATTCTCTTTATTGTTAAAACGTATTTTACTTATGATGGGTGTTGTATTGAGGATTTATCATGTTGATGGGAGTTGGCATGTAAACAGCATTATTTTCAGATTTTTGACACTATCTACATTGCTCTTATTTTTGTCACTTTCTAGGAAACAAAAAAAAGCCTTTCAGCATCCATAAATAAGTGAACTGAGCTGCCAC